CAAACGTGCACAGTTGGATTTAAAACTCATAATTATTTCTTCTTCTTAGTTTAGGATTTCGCATGTTATTCAACGGATGATAATTACCATGATTGTTCCCTCTGGCCTTTTCCCTTCAAGTTGATTGTGTTTGCATATTTTGGCTATTCGCTTTTTTTCTCTCTCTTATCGCCTTGTTTGTTTATGTGTCTGGTAAAGAAAGTGCTAGGATCGACTTGAGAGACTTCATTTCTATCGTTTCGTTTTCTACCGAAGTTTTTGCTGCGTTCACTTCTCTTATCTCTCTCATTTTGACTACTATCTACTTACATGTATTTGTTTCTCCAAAATACTTATCTGAACAACTCTGCAAACTTTAATGTTGTTAAATTTATGTATGCTGGTTTTGCGCCTTCTTATGTGGATTGCGATCGATTTAAGTTTCTTCTCCGAGATAGTTAAAGGTCATCACCTATTCTATGGCTTCTATGAACTTCGAGTCTCCCAAGACGTCATTAATGTTTAAAATTTTTCTGTGAAAGTCCATATATGCATAGTATTTTTTTGATGTTTCCCAAAATTTCTATTCTTTGGAGATCAACTTCGTTCTCTACTGTAAGTAGTATATCGTCTGCATAGCAGATTATGTTTATCTAATCGTTTCTCATTTTGCATCCGTTTAGAAGTTTGACCTCTCTATTATCCTTTCCATAATTAGATTTGAGAAGAACGGACTTAATAAATCTGTCTGATTCTTTGCAAAACCAGGATTTCCTGAGTGGCATCGTTGTGTACTTTCGTTGTTTTGTTGTCTGTTTTTATGTTCTCAACTTACCATATTATATCAGAAGGTACTTTTTTGGTATTTAGTATATCGAGTACATTCTTCAATGTAACTATCAAAACCTTTTGTTAGGTCGACGAAATCCATGAAACTTTATAGGTTTTTCTATGATCTGTCGGATTATGAAGTTCGTGTCTATTATACTTTTATTCCGTCGGAATTCCTACCGTTCTTCGGAAATTTTTATCATTGCCTAGAGGAATTTATGTATAACATCAGCTAATAGTTTAGCGTGGATTTCACTATGGTTATACCTCTATGGTTTTCTGGCTTCTTCTTATCTCCCTTTTTGTATATCGTGTTTGTTATGTGTGTTTTCCGCTCCTGTAGCATCGTACATGTTAACATAACTTTCTTAACGAATTTGCCTCGTATGTCATGGGGTCCCGCGCTTCTTCTATTTTTTAATTTGGTTTGAATGTTATATATGTCCTCTTTATTATTATATATATATATTCTTCTGTGGTACCTTTATATATTTTTGGCTTTGTGTCTATGTGAACATCTACATCTCTTCATATAATCTTGCAAAGTGCCCTTCCTAGTCTTCTCTCGAAATGCTATTAATCTGAACACATCTCTTTTCTGATTTTGAATCATGTTCCAAACAATCTTCTTCGCAACATGTAAATACGATTCCATGTTCTTCGTGAACCTTTCAAAATATTTTTCTTTTGTTTTCTTTACTTCGTCATTTACTTGGTTTCGAACTTTTATATATCATGTATTTCTAAGTTTTTATACATCAGGTATGTATTACTCCATTGCCAGTTCTTTAACCTTTGGTGTATATCAGTGTGTTCTTGCTATTCCATTGATGTTTACTTTTCGCTTTCCTAGTACTTCATATGCAACCGTTCTTCATATGCATTTAATTTGTCGCAGCTTGTTTCCACGCATCGTCTTCTTCTACGTTATGAGTGATGTCGCAGTCTTTTGTGTTACTCAAATTCTATCAATATTTCCTGTGCTTTGGTGGTTCAGAACATAACATTTCAAGTGGCCGATCTTAACAAGTTTTTCGTTCTCCAAACAAAACATATTCCGTTTCAGATTCTTGTTCATTATCCTTTTACTTTATTAACCCAGATATGCCTAATGTACTACATTTAGGACGGTCAATTCCTGTTGAAACTTGCAAGGTCATGAGCGCCTGGAAATGCGCACATCACATGAAGTCGTGTATTTTAGATGTAGCAGTGAGAGTGATAACTTGCAGTTTAGGTGTTTTCTTTAGATTTTGTTTTAAGTGCATCCGAAAGTCAAGATAGGTTGGAAATGGATTATTGCCCGGTTCGCTTTGAAAGGTAAGGTAATTTTCAATTATAGAAATTAGAATAATATTATGATTCTTTGATTACAGTAACAATAAATAGTTGCATAATTAGTATTATTTAAAAGTTTTGCATTATTCAGTAAATTAGAGTATAAATTAGGTTGGTGAAAGACGGGTGTACTATATATAGGACATTAGGATAATAAACGACTATCACGTTCATCTAATTACAGGGGGTTTTCGCTTCATGAAGCCCTTGCTATGCTTGAGGACAATGACGACATTGTCAGCCAGGTTGATGAAATAACTATATTTCCTCCTGTAAACGCTGCAGCCGACCTGACAGATGAAGATTCTGGAGCAGAAAATGATCTTACAGTGAATAACCTACCGGCATCACAGTTACAAGCGCCGGTGGAAATCGTAATTGAAAGTAACTACGACAGTGATTTTTCATCAGATGACAATATACCTCTATCAGAGTTACAATCACAAAACACGGCAGCAAGAAACAAACAAAAAGTAAAAACTAAAAAGAGACAGATGCACTACAGTTGGATAAAAGAAGATAAAAGGATAAATAAGGATAAAAGGCGATCACAGAAAACCCCTTAGAGCTTTTCTCAAAATTTTTTGACGAAGAAGTAATAGAATTGATTTTGAATCAGAGTAATAAGTACGCACAACAAAGAAATAGAAAAGCGAATATAGAAAAGCAGGAAGTAAACGCTTTTATAGGCGTTTTGATACTTAGTGGATATATGCAAGTACCGAGACGGAGGATGTTCTGGGAACGTGAAAAAGATTGCCATAACGTCATGATTACAGAAGCAATTTCAAGGGACCGGTTTGAGTATTTGTTTTCTAATCTTCACGTCTGTGATAATCAGCAGTTGGACCAAAGTGAAAAATTCGCCAAACTAAGGCCGCTTTTCACACTGTTGAATAAAAAATTCATGGAGAATTCCTCGCTTGAAGAAATGCACTCAGTTGATGAAGCTATGGTTCCGTATTATGGACGTGATAGCTGTAAGCAGTATATTCGAGGAAAACTCATCCGCTATGGATATAAGTTATGGGTAGGAAGTACCAGGTTAGGTTACTTGAATTGGTTCGAACCTTATCAAGGAGCCTCTACAAATATAAGTGAAAAATTTTCTGAATTGGGAGTTGATGCTGGAGTAGTCTTAGAATATGCGCAAGCTTTACGTAAGGAATGGCCAGATAAAAAATTTTATCTCTTTTTTGATAACTTTTTTACGTCAATTCCGGTGATCGAAAAACTAACTGACTGGCATTTTTATGCTACTGGTACGGTTAGAGAAAACAGGCTAAAAGACATTTCTCTTATAGATTCAAAACTCATAAAGAAGCAGCGCAGAGGAAGTTATGATTACATTACATTACATTACATAGAATACATATCGGGTAGGCGGACCAACCAACCTTGCACCGCGACCCTAAGGATCTATTGTACCCCGATAGATATCGTTCAAATTTCACCGTGAAGTCCAATGCTCTTAACGAACATTAATACCTTGCTCGGTGAAAGGTCATTCAGATCTTTTGAGGAGATAAGCTGCGACCCAAAAATCGAGAATCTGATACGGTTAACGGCAGGGCAGTGGCATAAAACATGCTCAACCGTCTCTGCTTCCTCCGCACATAGTCGGCATTCAACATCGTCGGCTAAACCCAACAAGTTGAGGTGTGCTTTTAATCGGCAGTGCCCAGTAAAAACACCCATTAGAACTTTTATGCTACTACGGGCAAGTCCTAAAATATTCCCGGGTTTGACAGTGGCGATGTTAATAAACACCTTAGCATGTCTCATTCCAGGAGAACTGGTCCACAGTAGGCGAAGTCTCTCTTCAGCCCACAGTCCAATCCTATATTTGGCCATCGCAAATGATACACCAACTGCTGGTTCCGGTCCCACAAACGCTTCAGCGCTGCCATCTCGTGCAAGTTATGATTATGCAAAAATTGTAGAACAGAATATAATTGCAGTAAAGTGGCACGATAATAGTGTAGTTTCTGTTTGTTCCAATTTTTGTGGAGTTGCCCCAATTCACTCGGTCACACGTTATTCGCAAAAAGAAAAGAAGAATATTCAGGTACAGCAGCCGCATCTTATATAGATGTACAATACAAATATGGGAGGTGTCGACCGCTCTGACCAAAATATCAGCTTACATCGAATTTCGATCAGAGCAAAAAAAATTGTATTTTCCTTTGCTATCTCACTGTATTGACATGGCAATTCAAAACGCATGGCATTTGCATCGCAAGAATGGAGGAGAATTAGATCAACTTAGTTTTAGAAGGAGAATTGCTGTAATGCTGTTGGTTCAGAATAAAAAAACATCGTCATATCAAAAAGGACATACCAGTAGGTCTCACGAAATAGATATACGGTTCGACCGAATAGATCTTTTAGTTATGCCCCAAGAAAAACAAACTAGGTGTGCTCATTGCCATCAAAAAACTACAACGAGATGCGCAAAATGTGACATTGGTGTACACACGAAGTGTTTTGTGCAGTATCACACTAATAAATAATTTTACGTTTATAGATATTCATGTGCCGAATGTCCTACATGTAGGACGGCTCAAATTTCCAATTTAAAAAAAAACAAATTTTCATGGTTTGTTTGTAAGACTTTGTTTTGCTTCTTTAAATAAGTTTTCAATAAAGTTATTATGATTTGTAAAGTGGTTTTAATTTAGGCACATCTGGGTTAAGATTATTTTATTGATGGTAGATTACTAGTCTTTTTTCCATTCCTTTCTCCTTTGCCTGGCCTTAAAATAAGAAAATTGTTTACGGCACAGCAAATCTTCATAAAATTTTTTATAAATAAGTGTTTATTATTAATAATACAACAACGGTTATTTTAGGGCACATAAGTGGAATTATAGCGATGTCGGGATCAGCAATATCATCTTGGGCTATTGATAACACACCCGCTAAAACGGCTAAGGAAGTTGCTGAATACCAAGGATGTCCATCGCAAAATACTTTAACAATGATAAGATGTCTCCAAAATGTTGGCCCGGAAACTTTAATAAAGGTAATTTTATTATAAATAAAACTTGAAAATGTTTACTCAACTTCTAAAGAATATCTAACAAATAATAACTTACTATTATTACAGGGTGATTCTGAAATAGAAAAAACAAGATTTGCATCTCGTGGTTTCATATCAGGCATGTCTGGTCTTCTCAGTGCATCTCCAGTTACCGAAGGTGCCAATGATTATAGATCTTTACCATCAGCAGTTCAATATCAACCGATAAATGATTTAACCAATGGAAATTCTCCTCAAATTCCTCTACTAACCGGAATAACTAAAGATGAAACAAAACGTGCTGTTGAAAATCGATACAAAAACGAAGCTATAAACGATATAAAATCTATTCCGAAGTTTATGGAACAACATTTGGTTCCCACTTTACAAGGTTTAATCGGTTTGGGAAATACAACCAATAAAAAAGATAAAGGATTTTGGAAAATTGTGGACCCGTTAAATTTTCGCGGTTATTTGAAAATAAATCAAGATAATATTTTGGGAAGTTTATCTGCTATTTCAGAAGCGACAAGTGATGCGCTTTTTAGTTTACCGGCATTTTTAACCGCTGATTTGTGGTCAAAAACGAACACTTCAACCTTTCTATATCGATTCAATCACGTTGGAAAAGCTAGAAAGGGATATAAAATTTTAGAAGGAAGTAAACTTGTTGATAGTGATTCAAAATCGATTTCGAATAACACATATTGTAGCCACGGTGATGATTTATCATACCTTTTTGAACCAAAAAATTTAGATGGTACTGATTTTGAAGAGCCGGAAGTTATGGACGATGAAGATAAAAAAGTTAGGGATATTTACACGAAAATGATTGCTGATTTTGTTCGAAATGGAAAACTTCAAGTTCAAAATAAATTAATACCAAGCTTTACAAGTTTACAAAGTAATTTCGTTGAAATAAGTTCCAATCCGACAATTGAAAAAGATTTTCGTTTTTGCGAAATGGCACTTTGGGCAGGTTTAGCAGAAAGATTACAAAGCACAACTTGTCAATATTTAAATCAGATCGGCAACATTAAAAAATATTTTGAAAGCGGAATAAATTCAACAATAAACAAAATGGATATTGGAAAAAACGTCAACAAATTAATGAGTGGATTTATTGGTTAAAATATAAGGAAAAAAAAATTATTTCTTGTAATTTGTTAATTTAAAAATAATATATGTATTGAAAGTGAATGCTTACATATAACACAAATTTAATAAATAAAATTAATTGCTTGCTATTATGATCTGTTAAGAAACATAGGTTTTATCTGCTTAAATAAGAAATTTGCAAACCATATTCCACCCATTATAAATTGAATCAGGGCCATTAATCGGAAACAATTAACATAACTAAAATCTGAAAAAGACAAAATTAATCAACCATAATTTTTTTATGAATATCTTAAAATAAACAATAGGTATTGTATAAAATTGTATTAATCTTACCTATTACAAAGAAGATCATAAAAGCAATCGCTGTAAATGTTGATAACCACAAATGTATTTTAGTACTCTCTCCCTTTCTGGTTATGTTTAAAAGTGGTTGTCCAAAATGTTGCAACGATTGCATACTTAAAATAATTAGCATGGCACCAATAACGAACCAAGTTTCACTATGAACATCAGTTAACACTGAAATCAAAAAACAAATATAAGTAAAACAAAACATTAATAGAATTAAAATTAATTTTTCTCGTGATATACATAAAATATAAGTTCAACTAAATTTTGGAAATACCAGAGGTTTGGTTAAAGAGCGTAATTTTATTTTCTATGGCTTACTAAATCCACAAGTACTTAAATATACTTAAATAAGAAACAAAGATATTTAAGTTGTGTATATTAAAGTGGTCAAATGGTTAGTGTACGGGTCTCGAAAGCATCCGAGGTTGCTTGAACTCTGGAAAATGCTAGCAGTCTTCAAAGATAAAAAAAAAATAACAAATCCTACTTTTACATCCATGTCGTGACCTAGATATTACAATGCCTTAAAACTGGGTCTGATCGGCTAAGGGAGACAACCGCACCAGAAAAATCTCGGCCCTCACCAAATGCCTTGGAATGGACTGGATATACGAAGACGAATCAAACAATGGAAACCGATAATGTAGTTCTGAACATGGAAAATACAAGGAAACTCCAAAAAAAATGGACGATGTTATCGATATGAAATAAAGAAAGTAGAAAAAGACTTAACAGTATTAACTGAAACAAAAAATAAGTCAGGGATCAGAAATTTTGGGAATATGTAACTACTTTTACAGCAGCGTTCTAAAGAATGTTCAAGGATACAGATTAATAATAATTGGGATATACGCAGTAAAAACTGCTAAATCACGAGATAATAAAAGAAAACAGCGTTTTTACATGGAATATTAGAAGAGGAAATTTATCTCGAACCCTGATAGTTTAAAACTTAGTGACCCAGGACTAAAATCTATCTTATTAAAATCCCTGTATGGACTGAAACAATCTCCAAGGTGCTTCTTCAAAATCTTCTTCTGAATAAATTTCTTAATCAATTTTTGGAACTTTTTGGTTTAAAGGAATGTGAAAGTGATAAATGTGTTTATATAGCAAAGATAAACAACGTAAAAGTGATTCTCGCTCATTACGTAGACGATGGACTAATGTTGACTCAGTGTCAAAATGTTTTAGACAAGCGGTAACCGCGTTGCAGAACAAATTTAGTGTAACGACGTGTGAACCCAGTTATTTCGTTGGACTGCAAATTCTGTGTAAAGAAAATCAAATTTTCATACATGTAACAAACTATATTGAAAGACTTTTGAATCGTTTTAATTTTAATGACATAAAACCATGTAAGACTCCATCAGATCCTAATATTGTATTGTCTAAAACTAATGAGAATCGTGCAAATGTTCCGTATAATAACATAAAAATGACAATTGAGATTCCCAATTAGAATGACAACAAATGAAGTAATTAACGCTTTTACTTCACTAAAAAATCGTAAAGCACCAAGACCAAGAAATACACCAGCAGAATTAATTAAATTATGGCCGAAAAAATTACACGAACATCTAAGTAAAATATTTCAGGAGTGTATAAACGGAACAGATATAGCAAAAGAATGGCATGAAACATACCATATGCAAAAAGGGAAATGGTACGAAGTTAGAAAACAACAGGGTTAAGAGCAAAATATATGGGAAATATGTAAGGAATAACATTAGAACAGGAACAAGCAAGGTTCTGAGCCGGGAGATGCAAGTTGGACCAGTTATTTGCAATCACCCAAGTAATTAAGTAAAAACTACGCTCTAATTCAAAATCTAAATCTTCTACACGTTGACCTGCATAAGACCTACGATAGCATCCCCTTGTGAAATTTTGGAAAGCTCTGAAAAAACACTAGTTAAAATAGACAAAAAAGTTAATAACAGGTTCACTGGAACCAAATGTCTGAAACAAAGGTGTTGTATCTTACTAAAGCTCTTAAAGAAATATTTGGAACAAGTTCCTAGAGGTTGGAAAAAATGTAGGAATATAAGAAAACTCATAGCGAATAATATGCTTTACATATTGTCCTTCGATGACGATCAGGTGCTCATACGTTAACATACATTACATTAAATACAAATATTTGTGAGTGGAAATCACAAATTATAGAACGTTGAAGAAGGGAACAAAAGAACGCTGTATTAAGTGTAATACTTAGAGATGGAAGCATAAGCAGCAGCAACAAAACAATAATATGTTTGGGTTTATACCTAATCCAACATACCAACCTAACCAAAAACGTTCCTCGATCAAAGCCTACGAAATCTAGTTCCACCTTAATATTTCCAGCCTAACCCCCTCACCCCAACAACAACTTCCAACCTTATCTAATTGAACTCCTTCCTACTCAACTAATTTCAACTTTATATAATCTAATTAAATCTCTACCTAAAATTAAATCTTCCAAAATCCAACAATAATTCAACTCAAGCAATAATTTTCAAAATTTCCAATCTTATCAAAAGCGCAAACATCAACCTGATGACAAGCCAACCTAACATTAACTTAATTAATAATTATCAAGATCCCAACCCATTTCAACCTCACCCTCACCCAACCCATCTTAACTCCATTTCTACCGAGTAATGTTATTATTTTAATTATTGTGTTAGCGGATAATAAAAACATATACCTACTCGTTTCCTTAGCTATGCAATGTAGCATAGTACATGTAGAAAACTAAGTACATTTATGCACCGGTTTAGCAGATACACAAGCCATAACCTCTACTGTATCTTTGTGTGTTTCAGTGTAACCTCTACATGATATTGTTATTATGAAAAATGGATTACAATATAAATTTACTGGTGGTCTATACAAAACTCGAGAGGGTATGTTTCCACAATTACAATACTTTTTCTGTATATATGTCGTATACGTATGTGAGCACATAAATGAGCGAATTTGGTTAGTATAGTATCGGATAACAGATACGTATAGAGATGTATACCATAGATATATCGCCACCTTTGCTTGCATCTATATAGGGGACAATTGCAATTAACTAAATAGGTTATTAGTTAACTATTACGTTACGAGAAAATTAAAATTTTATCTGAACGCTTAATTTTCTAAGCGTTGGTGAGCGTGGGGATCACGCAAAATTAAATCTTTTCAAATCTTTCAAATTGAACTTTATTATTACAATGACATACGAAATTATATTAAAAGACCAAGACTAGAAAGGAAAGTGATAATAAAATCACATCATAGTAATCTGCCTGATAGACGATTTGAAATGATGTATATCGAGTTAACAAACATCCTTGAAGAAATTCCTCTATGAAAACGAAGTGATGGGGAATGGCGGTATATGAAATTTCAGAATGAGTTCGAAAGGAGTTAGAGAAGGAGCTACCAGTCGCAGGTGCACCTAGAAAATGTTAACACATTAAAGATAACGTTAGAGAAATATGACGTAAACAAATAAAAAGTGGATAAAAACTACCAATAAATAATACTTAAACTTCGAAAACAATAACTGTACGCGGATAAATTAACTACTATATTATAAAATACGTATATAAGTACATACATATACATATTGTAATGGGGAAATTAAAAATGAATAATAGTTATTTACGTTATGAAAAGACTAAGAGCGAAGCGAGCGAATTTTGTAAATAACAAAATTAGCCGTTTATAACGTGTTAAGTACAAAATTTTATTTAATTCCATTGAAAAAGCAATTTTTGTTCAAAACTTGACTTATTCTATTAGTGACTAATGTCGATGTATCAATTTGTAGTTAGGTAATGAAATCATTACAACACTACTAGTTATAAAAAAAGTATATAGTACATATAGTACAAATGAAATACTTAATTATCTTTCCACGTGTGCTGTCCACCGTTTTTTAGTTAACATCCGTTACGTTTAAATAAAGAGTTGTTCCTTTAAAGGTTTTATATTTAGCTAACAGAGATTGATAAAAATTAGCGTGAGTGAAAAAAAATTTCAGTCACTCGTTTCTATGAAAGGCAGCAGAGTGAATGCAAATAACAACTTTCAACACTCGTATCCAAGTTAGAAACTGACGATTTCGAAGGTAGGATCGAACAAAATTTAATTTTTATAATGGAATTAGAAGAATGGCGAAGCCACGAGTATTTTAATGAATGAGTGCTTTAAGTCTTATGAAACGTGTTTTTATGCTATTTTTTTTGTAATTCGCGTTTTTATCCTTTTTTTTAACAAAAATAAAATAAATTTTGACAATGTAGGGAAATAAGTATGTAGCAGTTGGTAACACCAGAGTTCTATTAAAACCCTACTATACTACTTCCTGAATTTATTAAGAATTTTCAATTGTACTATGTATTAAAAATTCGTATATCTTAATCGGATCAAGTTACCTAGCAAACAAATAAGAGAGCACAAAAATGTTATTACCTAGAGCCTTCCTTCACACTTTATCCAAGCTTAAAACTGGTTCAAAACTACTTTCGATACGTGTTTAAACGACAACGGATCAATGAAACATCAACAATGATAATAAAGCAAAATAAACCAAAACACTTAGAATTATTTAAGTTTTTGGCAAAAACAGCTCACAAATGTTCGAAATGCCTTCTATAAAGCTCGATGCATTTATTTAATCTAGTTTCGACGAAAAGAAAGCTGTTTAAGTCTCAGCACTGGACACGTTTCTAATGACATTTAACGTTTTGTCATATTTTCCTTGGTTATTGTTTTGCTTGAAATGTCAGGTCGTTTAATCTATCCCATAGATAAATGGGTGAAAGCAATGCAAGTGCAATACAGCTTTACACCAGCTTGCTGAAAGATGCTTCATGCATCCATAGCATTTGTGATAAAAGGGAAAAATTTAAGAATAGACATCAGGCTTAAAAAGCGTCGATTTTTTTTTTAACCGACGTAAAAATGCCTAAAAAACACGTTAAAAATAAAAAGAAAGTGCGGAAAAGTGAAAAAATGACCGAAAAATGAGTTTGAAATTTCGACGTGACGTCACAAAATGTGACGTCACGAAGCTTACTTACGACGTATTTAACACAATTGTATGGATAACCCAGGTCCGAGAAAATTATTTTTCCAGATCCACGCACACAACACGAATAAAGAAGTAAAAATTAAAACATTTTCTCAAATTTAATGAAAGAATTAACAACTTTTAGTATTATAACGCATATTTTGGGGTGATATACCCATGTTATTTTGGTTCTTGACCCATAATGACTAAACGTCTTTATTTACCATCTACCTGCTCGTGTAGATCTGTGTTTTTACCCCTGCTTCGAACCCGACCCGACATTTCGGGATTACGCACTAGTTTAAATGTTAATTAACCTAACTCAAAATCTAATTTCTACACAAAATTCGCAAAATAATCAGTATATTAGGTGGATCCAAATGTAACGTTTTTTTTCAACAAGACCATACCAATATTTGACCCACCCGCTGCTAAAAAATCAAATCTATCATAAAATTAATACTGATATAAATTAGTAAATTATGTGGATCCGAATGTAACGTTTTTTTTCAACAAGACCATACCAATATTTGACCCACCCTCTGCTAAAAAATCAAATTTATCAATAAAATTAATACTGATATAAAGTAGTAAATTATGTGGATCCGAATGTAACGTAAAAAGGGGATTGGAGAACGGGGTTTCAGGTAGAACGTAAGAAAAGACATTTCAATCGTTGTGTCGTATACCTAAGATACAAGATTATTTAACTCGAAATGCGTTTTAAGAAACTGTTAATTCTTTATTTTTTGTTTAAATTATTAAATTTCCAATTTTATGGAATAAATGTAATGTGATTGGTTGTGAAAAACAAAGAAACGATCGGAATTAGCAGTGGTGCTGCGTAAATATACGAGTAGAGCATGGTTGATGACGTCAGAAAACGTGACGTCACATCGAAATTTCAAACTCATTTTTCGGTCCGTTTTTCAATTTTCCGCACTTTTTTTTTATTTCTAACGGCTTATTTGAGCGATTTCACACGGGTAAAAAAAAAATTGGCGATTTTTAAGCTTGATGTCTATTCTTAAATTATACCCAAGATTTTGTTGTTAACCAGCGCCCACCAGATAAAACTAAATAATCACTAGTAATACACATAATCAAATGTTATTGGAGTTTTATTAAAAAATACTTAAACCTGTGGCTTCACTATTAAATAAAACAATTTATTACAATATATATATTCCAGTAAATCTGAGTTCACTGTATAATTATCTCTTTTTCTACACATCTCTGCTGGCGCTACGTCGTGCGACGCTATATAAAATCATGCGACGCTACGTCGCGACCTTCGAAGTTAGCTGGAGAAAGCTGGTAAAAAGCAATAGATGCAACGCCGAGACATCGCGATAAGGAGGCATAACATCTGGCAATCATTTTCACGTAATGCACCTGGAAGGCCAAGCTAATACCAACAGCGACAAAAAATAAAGAACGTAGCCGTGTATCGAATACACCTCAAAACTATCAAACTTCAAGCCCGTGTGCTCTTTCTACCGGTGCATAACAAAAAACGATTACGGGATTTTAAAACCAGTCTTTATAAAGAATAGGAAATTAAAAAAATACAATAACAAAAATTAAAGAGACCTGCACATCAAATTATATTGTCGGAGCAAACGATAAATACAAATTAATTTTGGCTAAAAGTACCTTTTTTTCTTGCCTAAACTGTAACGTTGTATACTATATTATGGCGCTACTTCCAAAGGCGCCAATGTGGTCAGGCGTCATATTAATGTGATTAGGTCATCGCGAGTGACATCACTACTATCCGTGCTAAATTCAAGACCCCTCTGTTTAGAGATGGATATCTTCGCAATCGCTCGATGAAAAAATTGCGGTAAAATTTGGACGTCACGCCTTTATTTTACCTACAAAATGAAACAAAGACGCGACGTTCAGTCTGCAATACACAAAAGCACCATCTTTTCCTATTGTATATTGGTCGTTTAGGTATCGAGGCATTTACGTCTCTAGAAAGTGAAGGTTTGTTCGAATTAAAGATTGAAGATAAGTAACGATTATCCCCAACTTTCTATCTCTCTTAAAACTGTATTCAGTGATAGATAATGCACAAAAGTATCTTTAAATGTTAATAAATCAAAACAAAATAGTTATTATTGATACAAGATAGCAAAATGACACTTTTGCATTCGAGAACGAAACTCTACTAAAAGTTGATTTTTGCGTAGTACTTAGTAACCTTCAAAATAAAAATTTTTGTCAAGAGAACGTAAAAGCCTTTTATAACCAGGACGTAATAATTATTTACGTAACCAGTTACGAAAAGACTAAGAGCGAAGCGACCGAGTTTTGTAAATTACGTGAGTTAAACAAAATTAGCCATTTATAACGGTTAAGTACAAAATTTTATCTAATTCCATTGAATTAATTTATTCAATACTTGACTTATGGTATTAGTGACAGATTGTCAATTTATCAATTTGTAGTTAGGTAATGGAATTCATTAAATCACTAGTGATGTAATTAAATCATTACATCACTAGTTATAAAAAAGTGACGTCAAAAAGATATGTAAAATTTAATTTTCATAATGGAATGAGGTAATAGTATATTAAAAAACTAGTTTCGTAAGACACGCTTGAAATGCACGAATTCAAGTTTAAAAAAGAGTTTTTAAATGAATGAGTGAGCTTTAAGTCTTATGAAACGTGTTTTTATACTATTTTTTGTAATTCACGTTTTTATCCTCTTTTTTTAACAAACATAAAATAAATGTTGACAATGTAGGGAAATAGGTATGTAGCAGTTGGTAACACAGTAACACTTCAAAATAGCAATGAATTGACAATCAGAATTTGTCAAAACACAAAATGTATTCACCTGAAAAAAATGTTTCATGTACACCTCCCGAAATAAGAAAAATTGCTCAGAGTTCATTAAAACACTACTTCCAGAGAAGTTCCACGAAAGGTATGAATAACAGTACGCTAAATTTAAGGCGTGGTGCGAAGAAAAGAAGATTAAAGAAATTTCAGAAAATGACCCAATGTAACCAACTTGTACTGGTTCCATAAAATGTTACTAAAATGTCATTACAGCATCGGATGCTGTAAGGAGTCTCATTACAACACCCGTTTGAATACTGTAATAGTCCATTATGTCCAGCTACGACAATCAATGTATTTGATATTATTAATTGTTAAGTTGTTGTTATGAACAAATTACAACCATAAAATAATTAACATTTAATTGTTTTATGCAAATTCATAATACATTTATTAAATATGTGACGTTCAAAAATAAATATGTAGTTGATTTAATGTTATAAATGAAGAATTATGTAATGAATTTATAAAACTTTAGAACACACAGTTTTCGCAAAAATGTTGTACACGATAGCGAAATTCTTTTGCATTTTCGAACGAATTTTTTGCTCGCTTAAAAATATTTTACTTACAAACATATCCTAAAGCACCAATCCATGACGATAACCATAAAAAGAATGCCTTCATTTTGTGCGTTGGACTGACAAACAAGTTGATAACAACAAAAACTAACGCTGCCGTATTCACTGATCCAACCAAATGAGTTGCCAGATGAAACGGTAGCCTCTCTATCCTATTATACATGAAAGTAGGAAATAAAGCGTAAAACATGAATATCGAAAATTTTAACGAAATAGTTTGTAAAAGTGACTTATAAAAAGTCGGTTGAAGCAGAAAACTATACTTCGTGTCAAATAAACTTGGTTTGGGTTGTGCATTTGGTACAAAAACAGTCGGTTCGTTAGTTAATGTTGATTCCCCAACATCGAATGAATAACTCGTGTTGTTATTTAAATGAGTTTCTGTAAATAACGGTGTAGGAAATCCTTCATCTACAGTTTCAATGCGTTCGATATCGATATTTTTAAACGAATTTTGTAGAGTGCTTTTCGTTTTTGGTTTTGCATTTTCTTGTTCATCATCGAATGTAACCCAAGATTTTCGTGATGATTTTGATTGGTTTTCGATATGATTTGATTCAGATTCTATCGTAGCTATAACGGTCGAAGTCGACGGCGTATCTTCAGATGGCAATGAGTGCCTCGCGTTTTGTAATTCCGTTGAATTTTTTGCAAAAATATCTACTTCATCATCCTGACTTGCTTGGTGAATTAATTTATAAGGATTTCCTTGTGCTTTTAAATAAGGCGGTTTTTTAATTAACATTGACACTATCACTCCTTGTAAAATAATCGCTTGATACCACAAAATTACTTTTAAAAATCCAATTTTTATGATATGATCACCCATTATAGTTGGCGTTAAAACAAATCCAACAACCGTGGCTGCTTGTAGAAACACATTAACTTGCATTAATCGTACTTTAAAATATTGAGCGATGATAATTTCGTTTTGGGATAATAAAATTGAAGCTCCCATTCCTGTTAGAAGACCTGCCACAACAAACCATGGTGCTGTTCTTGAACCGATAGCAACCGCAAACCATATAAATAAAAGTCCTGAACATACTAAACATACTCCTGATGTTGATACTAAACGAGGCCATTTACTATATTCGATTAATTTTCGAAACCATGGATCTAAAACAAAAAGAATAATTAGATTTAAAAATTATAATAGGATAGAAATTTCAATTTGTGTTCTTTTAAGTTGTTGTAAAAGAATATTTATCAAAACAGGAAAGTACAAAATTTATCATTTCTTAGGATATAATTCCTAGGCGAATTTTATGGAGAGTTTCTCGAAAAATAGTGAAAAATTTTAGTTTTATTTTTGTTTCTCAGTAGCACTAAACACCTGGAAAAAGAAATTCCTTTTTCTAGAAAAGTCAACTTTTATGTTGAAAAACATGGTCAATTTTTTGAAATAAAAATTTTATTTTACTAAAACGTTATAACAAGTAACAAAAGCAAACGTTAACTTCATAATTGCATAATTAAAAAAATAACAATTACAAATCATACATAGTTAAATTAAATGTTGGAAATGTCCGCCGTTAGCTTCAATGCACGCCGCAATTCTTCGACACATTGACTGTCTAGCAAGCAGGAAAACCCCCGGAGAGGTTTGAATTATGTCGCAAGATACAACAATACGATATAATCTCTTAATTGGTCAACATTTTCAACTGGAGTAGCTAAACAATTAAGTTCGTGAGAACGACCGATCCAACGGTCTGGATATTCGTCGTCCAAGTATTGGCGAGCAACCAAACTAAAGTGGGCAGGAGCTCTATCATGCATAAAGTACATGTTTTGCCTTACTTGAAGCGGTACATCTTCCAGCAGTTCCGGCAGTACTTCTTCTAGAAATTATCGATAATCTGCACCGTTTAATCTGTTTGGTAAAAAATGTGAGCCTATCAAATGATTGACAATTGATCAAATGATCAATTGTTGCTGTTGATGGCCTTCTGCAATATCCTTCGAGAAAGATGCTTCATCGGTAAACAGAACTTCGGCTCCAAACTCAGGATTTTGAACTATTTTGTCTTGCATCCATGTACAAAAAGCCAATCTTGGCGGAAAATCTCTTGGCAATAAGGCTTTTACTCTTTGGATATGGTAGGGGTACAAAAGTCGCCTTTTCAAAATTCTCCAAACCGTCGAGCGAGATAGGTTTAAGTTGTGAGCAATTTTTCTGGTACTTGTGGTCGGATTTTCATCAATTTCGTTGAGAACAGCTTCTTCTACATGGGGATTTACAACTTCCATACCTTTACGGTTTGGAGAACTTTGAAAAGACAACTTTTGCATAATTTTTTCATTTTTTTAATTTTGCAATTATGAAGTTAATGCTTGGTTTTTGTACTTGTTCTAACGTTTACATAAATTTATTTAATCGTAAAATAAAATTTTTATTTCAAAAAATTGACCATGGTTTTCAACATAAAATTTGATTTTTCTAGAAAACGGTCAACTTTAGAGGTCATGACCAGTACCTTTTTTGTGTAGAAAACATTGACGGTACTCAAAACCGTACTTTTACCAGTGTCGTAGAAGTTGGGGAGAAAAACAACCACTATCAAAATCTTCACCAATTATGACTTTAAAAAATTTTTTCCTCACACAAAACTTAGCTTATTATGAGTAGAAAATGCTTACAAACACTGTTTTCTGTACGATAAACGGTTCCGGAGATATTCGAAAAAACGATTTTTTTTTATTAAATTTCAACACCCTGTGTATCTCGAAAATGGTGCATTTTAGAAGATAAGTTGATAGAAACTTTTTCAAATTTTTGGACAAGCTATTACATCCTGAAGTCTTGCGCATATATTATGAAACATCCTGTATATATAAATGTTAGCTGTAAACTGTACTTCCAGTAATACACTAAAAGAAGATGCTTCGGGTTACGGGTTAAGCAGAACATGTTTTTGATTGTTTTTAAAGAGTCTGATTATTTATTTTTAACTAGTACGCGCTGGTAAACAACAAATTCTTGCTTTAAGTTTCAATAAACTTTATTACCAAACTTACCTTAATATATACATATAAATTGCGATTAGGTATGGGAGCTCTGGGGGATTAGTTATCGAAGACTGGTCAAATGAAAGCTACGGTTTTGAACTCGCAGGCTCCTTTTTTATTTAAAATCATAACCAAAACCCTTACACAAAGACTTAAATATAAACACCCCAACGCATTTCGACACTTAACTAAACAAACAAATAATACGATAAAGAACCCTAAGCTTCCGGTTCGATACACTCCAATTCCAGACTAAATAACGGAATAATACAAATAAAATATAAACGCATTAATACAATATAAAATCTAACAATCTCGTTTACTGGTCCCAAGGAATTCGTTCCAAATTCCCCAGTTTGTGATTGGGCCTGGTTTGGTGAACCTGGTGGGCCTGGTTTCTGCAGATTTTAACGACTGGAAACATGCTGAATATATATCCGATCATGAAAATTTCGCCTCTCATAAACAGAACATCCGTATATTTGTCAATCAATCTAGAGAAAATAGTGAATAGTTCAGAAATTATTCAATTATGTCACTGGAAAAAAATACTAATTATTTTTTTCCAATAATTAGTATTTTAAAGCGAATTGTTAAGGTTATAAAATTTTTAAGTTCAAGAGGTTTAGCTTTTAGAGGTGACAATCAATTTAATGGTAATAAATATAATGGAAATTATTTAAGATTCCCAGAGCTTTTAGCAAAATTTGACCCCATCTTACAACAACATAATGTTAAATCTTGCAAACAGTACTGGTCATGTATCTTGTATAACGTATAGGGACGATTTAGAACATCATTTTATTGAAGAATGCCTTCAGTGCAAACATCTAAATTTACTTGAAAATAAAGAAAATATATCAACGACACATTATTAAAACTTGTTAGAAAGAATCTTTGTTCTTGCTTGTTTTCCGTATAGCTTTAGTCGTGGTCAAGTCGTTGGTGTATGTAGAAGTGTAGCTAATAACGTATCTCGTAAATATGATCCTTTTGTGTATCTTTCAAATTTGAAACGCAGAGATGCGTTATCTGATGTAATTGTATCGTTGTTTCTTGGTTTTATGTTTGGTTTATAAAACTGAAAAATATAATGTGCACCAAAGTAGCACTATCAAGAAAATGAATGACGACGAAATTGTTCTTGTCGAAAGTCAGTTAATAGATAGACTTGAAACATATTGCCTAAGTCGGTGCGAAGTAATATTGAAAATGTATTGCTTATTGATGATGATTATACAATACAAATAAAAAATCTTTGTCCATCTTGCATATACTGTAACTAGGTTCTCATGAGAATGTGTTTACTTTTAAGTTAATACATTACTTTACAAGATAAATATATATTTAAACCATTATAGCTACATTAACTTGATTTTTTCTAACACTTTAGTTGTGTAAAGCAATCCAAATGACTACAGCCATGTATGTTGATTTTCTGAAGTAAATATTATTAATAAATGAACCATTTTTGTTTTCCTTCGAGTTAAATAAACTAATCAATTAAATACAATCGATTTTCAAAGTTCTTGGTGCATAGGATAGGTCATCTATATGACTTCTTTGCCATCGTCTATTCTATTCGACGAAGCATAGCCTCTTCGTATAAAAAATAAGCATAACCTTCCATGGCCAAGAAGAATAGTTGACTCGAAAATTGAGTCTACGTTTCCTACCGTGACCATAACATTGCGAAATTTTTTTAACCCTCCGCATACGAGGTCAATTAAACTCACATGCCTTACTAGGTGGGGTATGACATACCCCGGAAATAAAATACTATTTCTATACAATTTTACATAGAACACGGTCTCGCGAGTCTTTTTTGTTTTTCAATTTTTTCAGTTTTCCTGAAGCTGGGGTATATGATACCCTACCTCGTATGCGGAGGGTTAAGCATTGCTACTACAAATTGTAGTGGCAAAAGATTTTTTCACCCCTCAAAAGGATAAAAAATGATTTGCGTTCTTCTTTGGGACAGAGTAAATTAAGTGATTTAAGAATTTTATCCTAAGAATCTTCACTTTGACGGTGTACATGACCGTATTGTAAAGAGTTAATTTATAAAGAATTAAGAAATCTTGTAAATACTATTAAGTGCGAAAAACGTGTTTACATTACTCATGCTATACAGAATTCTGTTAACCCGTAGAAACTGTTGCAAAAAAACAATTTATTACAATGTAAACTTCTTCTGGGAAGCTTAATGCTATGGCCACTGTAGGGTTGATAATTTGATTAATGACTTTGTTAAGGCAAAATTTTACCTTGATGTTTTCTCATTTAGGTTGGTGTCCGAGAGTGATATTTTAGCTGAATTACATAATATACGATCAAATGCTGTGGGTGCTGATGATATCGCTATTAAATTTATGAAAATGGCTTGTCCTGTAATCTTACCTCATATAACAAATATTATTAATACTTGTCTATTAGAAGGTGTTTTCCCTTCAATATGGAAACAGTCCATTGTGGTATCGGTACCGAAGGTACCAAATCCAAACGAATACTCATGTCTGAGACCCATAAGCATTTTGTGTTCCTTATCAAAAGTATTGGAAAAAATAGTTAGCAGACAACTGACGGAGTTTTTGAAGGCTGAGCGTATTGTTCCAGTGAATCAGTCGGGTGTCAGGGAAGGACATAGCTGTGAAACTGCTCTGAACAATATAGTGGATGATATTGTTACTGCAACTGACTCCAATTAATCTTCTGGGGATGTTGGATTTCTCCAGAGCCTTCGATACTATAAACCAATACTTGTTAATTTCAATTCTTTACCATATCGGGCTTGATTCTGTCCCATTAGCATTTTTCAAAAATTACCTTAAAGGCAGGATTCAATCAATCAGTATTGATCAGGTGAAGTCGAGTGCATTGGAGATAAGGTCTGGGCTCCCGCATAGGATCATCCGCAAGGATAAACGCTAATAAGGCCCAGATCATTCTGTTTGGGCCCCCGGAGTTAAAAGAGAAATCTATTGTTGGGTTTTATCAAATGTCGATAGGAAATACTTCTATTTCATTAAGTAAGTCTGTCAAAAACTTCGGACTGGTCATGGATGAGGCGTTAAGCTTTAGGGAACACACTAACCAGTTGATTGGTCGAGCTTATGGCTCGTTAAAATTGATTTACTCTAATCGTTATAGTCTTGACCGGCACACAAAAAGCTTTTATGGGACTCTTTGGTATTGTCACACTTTAATTACTGTGACAGCATAACGGGGCTTTTTTGGATTCCAGACAACAAGAAAAAAGTTAAAAGCTTCAAAACTCGTGTATCCGTTTAATTTTGAACCTGAGGAAATATGATCATGTGTCTTTTGGTTTTACGCTGTTAAAATGGCTGAACATGAAATGTCGCAGACACATCCACAAGCCTGTTTGTATTAAAGGGTAGGATTAAATTCAGAACGGACGTACATAATGTTAATGTTCGCTTCAGAGGTACAATTTTTCAAACAGTGTTTTTCTTATCAGATATACGCCATATACAATAATTTACTTCGGCACCTGATTGGACTACCCCTGAACCGATTTAAAAGACCATTGAAGTGTTGGGTGATGGATGGGTGACGGTGGGCTTCAGTGAGTAGCTAACTGTCTATACTATATGTGTACCTTTTATCTCTAATTCTTCTATGAGTTTTCATTATTTCCTCGCAATTGGTCTTTACGACCTTTCATTCTGTTAGGTTGAGTGGAAGATCAGGGTTGACCTGAACTGCGTCTATATGTACGGGCTTTTTTCTTAATAACTAAATTAAATTTCTTTTATAATGTTTTGTTTTATTTTTTGTATTTTTTTTTTTTTTTTAAATCATTCTTGTATCGAATGTGGTATACTATTTATATATTATATTACTTCACAAAATTGTAATTATAAAATTAGTGCAATGAAACTAGCACTAAACAAAGTCTTGAACTTCTGGTACTTTTATATGTCTTTGTATCATGTCTTTTATTACATGAATTTTCTTATGAAAGGGGCGCACTCTTTTTAATAGCACTGGGGTGCCGAATATTTTATGACGGCCCTGCTAAATCCTTCCTCAATTGCTGTTAATGCAATTGCAATTAATGTATCAAAAAGAGAATAAAGCTACAAGTATTACTAGTTGTTTTCCAATATCAACCTGTGGAAAATGTAGGGTTGGCTGCCCCACTACGAACCTTAATTAACTAGATTTTTCTGCAGGATAATTATGAAATAATCATAACCATTTCTTTGTCGTTATAAAAAGATAACTTGGACTTATGTTTAACTTAAATTGTATGATAGAATGAATCGAGTTGGTAACAGTTTGGGAATCACTGGATTATACATATAAAGGAAATTTACATAGAAGGAAAATTGAAACAAATTTAGATAAACTACTTGCATACAAAAACTTTCTTTGAGAAGACACCGTGTGATAATTTAAGGGTTAAAAAGAATAAATTGTAAAAAAAGAAAGTTGCCAAATTATTAAATTTATGCGATAACAAGTTTAATATGTAGTGGGTAAAGAAGATACCCGAACAACTGTAAGCAAAAGAAAGAAGGGAAGAAACGAATGACCGCATTCTGCGTCGTTGCGCATTCGTTAGTATTCGTTCGCCATTTGAGTTACGAACGTCGTTGTGTTCTTGTCGTCTTTGGCGATTTGCTTAAGAGGTAAGTTAATTTATTTCTTCTTTAAGTAAATAGAAACAATCGGACATTTTATCAAAATCGTTTTAAACGAATATATCAATTATTTTTTACCACAAAAATAAATTTCTTTTAGTTGAAAATCGTGTTACAACACGTATAGCGTTAAGAGCTTGTGGAGCCGTAATGCTGGTCCACAGGTGTTTGGTTTTTTTTTATAAACAAGTTTCGAGTGATCGAGGCACAAATATCTTTTAAAATATATTTTATTGAGGGCAAGTATTATCTCAAGGTCAAAGCCGAAGAACAAACATTTAATTAAAAAAAAATTATTTCTATAACTTACCAGTTAATGTCCAAATTGCCATGAAAAATAACGGGGTATAAATAAACGGAGTGTCCCATAGCGTTGGATATGCCGATCTTAATGTTTCTAATCTTAACCATGCTGTTAAAATTCCAAATCCTAATATTAAACTTGGAATTAATATCTGAAAATAGATTTTTTTAAATAAGTAATCTATTTTGATGCAACTATGTAGCAAATACTTAATTATTTAACAACAAAGTATAATTTAATTCAGAAAGCAATAAGTTTTTGTAAATTACTGCATTCAACCTACACCGGAAACTGTTTTTGATAACAATAAATACAAAATTGATAGCAAAGTATTAATGTATGTCCACACCAAAGAAACACCGGGACATTTTGTTCCTGATTGTCGCAATCTGTTTAGAAAGCAGAAACAAGAACATATTTATCGTAAACATTCTGTTCACACCAAGAAAATTCATTTTAGTCGCTCAAGAAACTTTCCGTCTACATCAGCATACAGATAATTTTGAAGCGACTACTTTCACATGTGTTAAACAAGGAATAAAATTTCAATGTATTAAATAAAGAGGTACATATCGACTACAATGGATCTGTTCTATTGTAACTTATACAAAGCTTATAGCCATTCTTCTTCCACTTACGCCAAATAGATACACAAGTCGCTCATAAGCACCCCCTGTATATTGTATGTTTCAGTATTTGAATACAATGTGGTGCAATGATGATTTAGAGCCAGCAGTGGCTGCAATTATTATTATTTTGCAAAAACAAAATTTTTCCTTATGAGTTCATTAAAGAATTTTTATCACGTGGGTTCCTCAAACACTCGGCATTTTTGTATATCTCACTTAAATGTACCACTGGAACGACATATTTTTTGCACACGTTTCGGAAACAAGTTACAATATGTCCACACTGCCCAAAACAAAAATGTTTACAGATGTTTTTAAATTTCCTAATTTTATTTATCGCTAAATGCAGAAACAAGCAACTTATAGGAACATTTCTTTCTGCAACCATAAACAATAAGGAAAACTTTGAGATACAAGTTCCAGGAACAAGCAATATAAACACAATGTTCCTTTGTGTTCCTTTCGGTGTGGACGTAACTTTAGAGTAGTCCCAACATTCTTTTATAGAACTAATCTTTCGTGGTAATAAGTTTTAATATTTACCTAACTCGACGTTTTCATTTAATGTTTATTTAGCAAAAGTGCACAAACAAATATTTAACACTGCAGAAAACGAACAAATACGACTTAGTCCGAAAAGTGACGCATAAATTGTTTTAGACACGACTCTTATCAGGTAAATAGTGTAAGATATTACCTGGAAAAATATGCAAGTGATTACAATAATCCATCCATAACCACCATCGGGAATACTGGGTCCCAATTCAGATTGTGTTGTTGGTACGCTGTCTAATCTTAACCGATTTCCGCGACTATTTTCTGTTCTTTCCATTACGTTGTTTTATCGGTTATTGAGTTAAAAATGAATCTAACGCGGCTTCATCACCGTTTGTTTCACGCCCGCTGTTCTATCTACGGTATAAATTCCTTATCTTATCATCGAGAGGCTAAATGCGACTAATAATGATATCACGATAATATACGTGGGAAACTAAACGGAGAAAATGTTTAAATAAAAAAAAACGCTACTCGTTAATTTGAAGTGTCGATAAGAACTGTGCACTTTTTCGTTAACTTTCGTTTCGTTGTGCAGTTTGGTTTTATTATTGTCGTAATTAAACGTTTGTTTAAAATGTTAAGTTCGAGTTTGTTTTAAAAATAGTTTGTTGCTTGGAATAGTTATGCTAAAAAATTGTTTGTGAAAATACCTAACTATGTAAACAATGTTAAATACTAAATGAGTTTTATTTGGACTTTAATGTAGATAAGATTGGAGTTAAAGATGACATCAATTTCGAAGATATTGACTTCATTGATTGTCTGGTGTTTTTGTTTGGACTAAAGTCATTTTATTATTTTTTTGTTTGTAAATAAATTGGAGGTACAAAATCTAAAAGAAACGTCAAATCTTTTTTCTTTAGTTCTGAAATTGTGTTGCCTTGAGGATATAACAAACCTAGATAACTAATTGAAAATGCTATCTCTTTTTAATATCTACATGTGAAAGTTCAACTACAAAATCGTTGGAATATTTGTAAACAGTTTTAAACAGTTCATCTTTTATAAAGTTCATTGTTGCCATCGTGACTTTTTTCCTGTATGTTGCATTCTAGCTTTTTTGTTGAAATAAAATGTTTTCATTTTAATTTTAAGTAAAGGATTTTTTTTTTCTGACAGTTTTGATAACATCAAAACATGGTAAGTAAGGATCTCATTTACCACATAATCAGGATGCGACATAATGTAATAAAAGCGACATAATATTTCTATTTTCGCCAACGCAACGTATCAATATTTCTATTTTGTGATCTGGCTAACTCGGCTTTAATCAAATTTTTTGTCACATTTTTGACATGTACCAGATAGTGGAGTTTTGCGTTTTGGTGCTATTAGGTGTTTACCGTTCTTTTTTATTCCTCCCGATCTTGCGCCATCTGTACAGCCTGATACATCCCGTCAGTTCTTTCAGCCTGTTTACTCATCTTATCAGTGATCTCAACTCTGCGGTTCTCGCCCCTAGCACTTGTTTGCAGTGCAGCCGAATACTGCTGACCCGTTTGGCTGAATAGCCAACACGCCGACAGCAGATAAAGGTTCAAGACCTCAGGACAATACTAAGGTTCATGAAGCACCTACATTTGCCCTAAACTTTTGGAGGGCTAAAGTTACAATAGATCTTATAGGTCGCGGTAACGAGAGGGGCCGCTCCCCTCAGCCCGACGGCAATAATAATAATAATGATAAACTCCACCATGCGATCAATTACTGGCTGTATAAAAACTACTCCCATATACTGCCAGTAGGCTTTCTTCTTTCAGTTATATTTCACCGCCCAAGCTGAAAAGACGGGACGATTTGGCCAGAACTACTTCCAAGCGACTTCATCCACCAGGCTCAAACCTAGACACTCTGCATTAAGGACAGTTAAGACTGTAGAACGAAGCTAGAGACTGACATGAACCCAGGTCATCACCTTCGAAATGAGTTCTCAACTGAATAACCCTGAAATAACCTGAAAACTCGTTAATAGGATTCAAACAAGACACGGTTTATGCACAGAATCACTTCATAAATGCCACAAAGCCCCCGATCCCATATGTATGTGTGGTAGGGACAACTGCAAAATGTTAGCATACCCTGGCAGATTGGATGACCTTTTCAACATACCGCGAGCTGCGTTCGAATGGATTGACAACTTCATAATCATCATATAGGTGTTCCATATAGTTGATCAACTTGTCTTTTATCTTTACTTCATTCAATATTGAAACGTTTGTTCTCGGCTTCCACATCTCAAAAACATCCATCGTCATTCGGTCCTTATTCTTTAATGTCCACGTTTTTTGAAGTAAAAATGTTTTTAGTGTTTCATTGGTTATGTACAATAATATCTTGCTTGCATGTGGTGTCTAAATAACTCTTGTGCTTTATACTTTTGAGTATATTCTGTTCCATAGAATTTGTTTGACTGTCAAAATCTGATAGATTGCGGACTTTCTTCTCCTAAATCGGAATAGGATTGATATTCTCCTATAAACTTTTCTGTATATGGATGTAGTCGTTGATTTAGTATTTAGAAGAACATAGCAGTGTTATTCCTCGGTAATTTTGATAGGACAGTTTTTCTTGTATATGAGATAGGTATCTTTAGCCTTGTTTCATTCCATTGAACATACCTTCATACTATTAATGCCTCGTGTTTTAATGTAGTTATTTAGTTACAATCTTGTTCACATAGTAATTGTCATAATCATAATCATGATAGACAATATTCTTAATCTTCCACGCTGTATTCATATCACGAACGTATTCATATCACCATGGTGTAAGTTTTATAATTTCAGTAAGCAAATATCCAAATCACCGTCTACTTCTAATCCAAAAAAAAAACGAATAACTGTTTCAATGGAAAATGACAAACGCAAATCTATTCATCAGATTTGTTGTCGTCTTTTCATTTTTGATAAACAAAAATGATTAAATTTTTTAATTGACACGGTTTCAGATATTTCTGTTTTACCCCACCGAGCTTTTCTTAATCGGCAAAAGTATACAGAACCATAACTTTGTGCTGCAAATTGATCTTCTTACTTATGGTAAAAAGATGTTGATAGTAACACTGAATCTAAGAAGAAATTTTCCCTTTATATTAACCATTGCCGATATTAATAAGTAATTTTCCTCCGCATTTCATCCCCAAAGCAATGGAATTTTAGAAAGATTCCACAGTACACTTAAGACTTTTATTATTGCTAAGGGTTCACACAGTCATTCTTCTTGGGTTCAGATTTGCTTACAAGGAAGACCTTGATTGTTCTCGTGCAAAATTAGTGGTTGGTCAATCTCTACGTCTCCCAGGAGAATTGTTTGTAGTAAATAAAACTTTTAATTAATTAATATTAATAATAAATTAATAAAGGAAAGGGAGGTCTTTCCGGGAGGTCATGCACACTTGATTTTCTGAGTACCCACCCTTCCTCATTTACCACTGTTTCGATATTCAGCAATTCTTTGCAATATTCCTTCCAAATATTTTTAATTTCTTTGATATCACTATGTGACGCTTCGTTTTCGCATAGTTCTTGTATTGTTGTTCTTAAATTCTATGTCCACAGTTAGTAGATATTATCTTTACGTCCTTGCCTGCTTCTTTATAGATTTATTGTCTTTCGCGTGCTCGGCTGCTTTACGCCATGTTGTCCTTGCATTTTTTGTTGAACCATTTTGTTTTCTTTTTTTCCCACTTCCATTACTCGGCACTAATGATCGTAGCTGTTTTAATTAAAATCCGTTCTTAATCAATGGTGCTATTTCTGTTTGAGGTTGTTTCCGGTATCTTCTTTTGTCCACCTTTCTCATTTCGAGTTTATGTGTTATTTAGGTTACCTATTCTCAGCTTGTATTGGTCGCTTACTAATTCTGCATGTTCTGGTCTTTACATCCAAAATAGTCGTAGCAAATTTTATATCTATTATTTAATAGGTGGTCTATTCGGTTATTTGTAGTACCATATGGTGATATCCTGGCTATTCCGTAGGTTGTTCGAATGTACATTAATTCTTGTTAAATTAAAAAACTGTGTTTTTACTCTTAGTGTCTAAAATACTGGTTTTGATTTTGTTATTCGTAATAAATGCTACACTGTATTCTGTCACTTCTGCTTCCTTGCCGATGGCATGTGCGGGTAAGATAGTAGTATATTTGCTATCTTCCTCCCAAACATTTTTGTTTCTTCCTTTAAATCCATGTTCTATGCTTTATGTAGGGTGTCCCAACACTCAACGTCAAGCGGGCACCGGGTGAGAGGCCAACTCATACCTGTTCTGGTAAAAATAAGAAAAAAATTCTATGTCTCTTAGTTAAGTGGTAATAAACATATTTTTGAAAATGTTAAAAATCGTTTCCTTATGAACCATGCTACTATAGCAGTCACAAATCAAACAACAAAAGTCGTTAGTTTTGCAAAAAAAGTATTAGTTTGATTGAGTTAAGGTTGAAAGAATTTATGTCTATTTAGTTTGACACGCGATTTCTCAACAAAGGAGTAGTACAACACCCTTGGCAAGTTATTTTAAAAGATGGCCTGTTTAGTCAAGATTCCAAAATGCTATAACACTTGCCATTTTTCTTTTCCTAAAAAATATTATTGGTTGTATTTCTGCAAAAAACGCGTTATTTAACAAATTCATACTTTCGTATGTTATTTGTATTTCCTCCAAAATAATTTAACAAGTTTGTTAGAAGATGTGCCACTCAATATCTACAGAGAAATGTGGTTTCAACAAGATGGTTGCCCAGCGAATTATGTTTGTCCTGTACGGTATTGCATACAGAATAGCCAGAAAGATGGATTGAACTTCTTGGTTCGATTACGTGGCCTCCTCATTCTCTGGGCATAAATACCCTTGATTTTTTTAGTAGGATTGCATAAAAGAAACAGTGTATTAAAAACCGATTGAAAATCTTGCCAAACTGTGCCACAATATTTATACAGCAGCAAAAGAAATAAATGCAAAGAGATTTGCACAACTAGTAAAAAGATATTTTCTGCGACTATGCTGAGCTTGTATTAGTGCCGACGGCAAACAATTTGAACATTTGCTTTGGTTTTAAGAAAATAATACTATAATAATGCTTTTGTTTGTTTAATTTTGTCTTTAGGTTAACCTTATTTGAAACAGTCCTTTTGCAAGACATAAGGGTAACTATCTTGTTGAAACTACATTTTATACTTCGTAGATACTGACTGGCACATCTTCTAACAAAGTTAAGAGGAATTAAAGAGTAAATACAAATAGCATACGAAAGTGTGAATTTTTTAAATAATATTTTTTATGAAAACAAAAATGGCAAGTGTTGTACCATTTTGGAAACTTGGCTAAACAGGCCATCTTTTAAAATAACTTGCCAAGGGTGTTGTACTACTCCTTTTTTTGAAATCGTGTGTCAAACTTAATAGACAAAAATTCTTTTAACCTAAACTCGATCAAACTAATATTTTTTTTTGCAAAACTAATGACTTTTGTTGTTTGATTTGTGATTTCTATAGTAGCATGGTTCACAAGGAATACATTATTAAAAAAATCACTATTAAATGCGAGCATTTCTGACCGTAGTACCTAAAGATATGATGTACGGGGACAATTTTTAACATTTTCAAAAATATGTCTATTACCACTTATCTAAGAGACATGGAATTTTTTTTATATTTACCAGAACAGGTATGAACTTGACGTTGAGTTTCGGGACAGTCGGTATAAGTATTTCATCGCATTAACTAGTAAGAGTAAATAGAATAGATTGAAAGCCAAATACTTAAATTTAATATTCTTGAACTTATAAAGTTTGGAAGTGGCCCGAACTGTTGTTAATTAACATTGAAATATTCCTATTTTTAGTTGCAAACTTTTCATTAAGTTTACTTCAAGGGCTTGTATACTTTTTTGCATGTACCCATTGTAAATCTGCAGAAAAGCTTTTATAGATATATAGCCTCTTCTTAAACTTATTGAATCATCCTGTAAATCAAATAAAGTTAACGAAAGTGCATTTTTGATATTTAAACAAAGCTTCATCATCATTGCTAATATCTATCAATAGGTGATAAACTTTTCCTAAAATTTTCAAAAATTGTATCACTAAGTATATTTTCTTTTCTCCCTATTCTATTTTTTTTTAATCTTATTTTTCAAAATGCTGTTGTTTATCTAATTAAAAGCTTATCTCAGCGGTTTGTGGTTGTAACTTAACCTCTTGTAGAAAACGCTTAGTTATACATTATTTTTGTATACTAAAAAAAAATTAAAATTTCTTTTAATACTTTTGTTAAAACATATTCCATCAATTATTGTTTCGTTTAATTGTTATTGTTTAATCGAAATAATTTAATAATTTCAAAAACGAATAATTTTTTTAAATAAATTTACATATTACATAGTTGGCATTATTGGAATAATCTAGTAACGTTTCGCGTTTCACAGTTGGCGAAAACAAAAATCGCGCTAAACCGTTACTTTTTAGGTTACAATACCTAAACAAACCCACTTGCAATTATTTTGATTCTCAATTAAAGTATCTGTCATTGTTACTTTACAGTTGCTTTTGAAAAATGTCTGGGCAGCAGCCACAACGTGCACGCGGCCGTGGTGGTCGTGGTCAGCAGCGTCCCCAAGGTGACGGTGATGCACCGAGACAATGGGGACCTAGTCGAGGAAGGGGAGGTCCACGTCCGGGCCCCCCTCAGGGAGGTGGTGCTTGGGGTCCGACACCGGGAGGGTCTCAACAACAACAGCAGCAGCAACCAGCGAATGCCCCAACCTGGGGCCCACGTCCGGCTGGAGCTTGGGCACCAAGGCCACAACAACAACCACAACAAGGATTTGGACAGCAAGGTCATGCAGATGCGGCATCGGTTCAATCTGCCGGAAGAGCCGCCCGAAGAGTTGACGAAATACGTCCGGGTGAACAACAGGTTGCTATGCAGGTTGGTGGAGGTGGAGATGTTGGCACTGGGATGGCAACAAAACGAGGCGGTATTCGTGGAAGGAGAGAAATCAAAGCTGTGGATATCATGACGACAAAACCCACAACCATTCAAGTGAAACAAGCCACTGATGGTAGTAAGATTCAGTTAGCTTCCAATTTTTTTAAATTGGAGAAAGTACCGGAGTGGACCTTGTACCAATACAGAGTTGATTTTGCGCCTGAAGTTGATAATATTAGAGCACGCAAAGGTATGGCTCGTACCGGGTTAAAGGATCACCTTCCTGCTCATATATTTGATGGCACCATTTTGTATTCATCTAGAAGGTTAAGTATGGACCCATTTGAGGTGTTCGTGCAAAGTAAGTAACTTCTTTTTATTATCATTAATGATCTGATTAAATTTTTTTAAATATGTTAATCATATTAATCTCTTATTGATGTTTTGTTTTCATTTTTTATAGGTAATAAAGGGGAAGCTATAAGAATCACCTTACGCCTTTGTCAAGATGTACGTCACTATGAACCTTTGAATATTCAGATTTTTAATCTGATCATGAGAAATTGTTTACGATACCTAAACTTACAATTGGTGAAACGTAGTTATTTTGATGCTGGAGCTGCTGTATGTATACTTTTATTATTAACAGTAAAAATTTAACCATCTGTCTTTATAGTTTCTAAAAAGTTTATCTGAAAAAAGATATTGATTTTCGTAATATTATTTAAAATGAATATTGTTGTTTCATTGTTGATTAATAAATGTTGTGAGTAGATATGCACCGGGTACCCTGTTAGTACCCAGTTTGCCAAGTTCTCAGCGAATTTTTACTGACCTGGTATCAGTTACCAGGTATAGGAGCTTAGTAGCAGAGCACAGAGAATTAAAATGTATAGTTGAGTAGCTTTGTTACAAAACGCAACAAGTCACACAAACTGTTTTTTGAGAAAACCAGAATAGTTTGTGATGATGTTATCCTAAATGTAATGATGCTATTTTATTTTTTATATGTTATTGCATTAGTCTTTTTAGACACAAATAATTACTCATGAAATATGCTTTATCATTGAGAATTCCCAAAAAGACCCTTGGATATATTGCATTTTGAAAAAAAAATTGTAACTTTTAGCGTTTTGAAAGCAAAATTTTTTTTGTATTTCTTCTAGAAGCCAAAAATTATATAAAAAAAAAAATTATATACAGTGTCCGCCAAAAACTCAGCAACACCCGTGTTTTTTCTGTTCCATTGTATCTACGTTTCTGAAATTTAGTTTGTATGGGAGGTCCATACCGATCTTTCGATCTAAAGTAGTTTCAAGATGGTGGCCACTTCCGGTCCACCGGAACTAGACCTTAACTTCGTTATTTTAAAAGGAATGCTATAGTTTTTATTGCACCTTTTCATTATATGCAAAAAAATATGTTGACTTTGATAAAAGTTACTAGTACCTAGCATTTTTCGTTTTCAAGTTATTTTGATTTTAAGCTTTTTTTTCTGGAAAATTTCACGATGTTGTATCTCACGCAATATTCATTCAACAAAGTTCTAACTTGGCATGATTACTCTTCAAATAATACCAAATAGATTGTGATTTGTTATATCTTATAGAGTATAGTAATTCACCATGCTAGAAGATTCAACCGCACTCTTATTTCTTTTTTCAGAAGGTTCATTATCATCAATATTTTGTTTAATATAGATTTTGTGTTTTGTTGTTAAATAGCTTGCTAAAGCTGATGTGCTTCCGTCCGCACATTTTAAAATTGCGTAACATTTCGAACATTTTGCTTCATTTCTTTTACTCTCTGAAATATTTTCCACACACCTGATTCCCCAAAATGTTTCCTTAGTAGAGCATCCATGGCCTTTCCTTTATCCTGCAAAATTCCTCTTACAGAATCCAGTAATGGTAACTCGACAGCCTTTAACTTTTTAAGAGGTTTTACTAGTGTTATAAAAGTTTTTGAAGTATCTTCTAATCTATAGTGCAGTGGTTCCCAACCTTTTATAGCCCATCTCCCCTTTGAGGTTGACTAACACTTATCGCCGCTTTGTCATTTTCATTGTATGCCTAATTTTAATTTCAATAATCCAGCTTTATGTTCGTCAAGTTCAGGCGCAAGGCTCCTTTGAGGCATATGTCCAACTTATTTCTTTGTTTTGTGAAGAGCTGGAGAACGTGATGAGAAGTGGTTCAATTTTTCCTCACAGTCATACTTCAAATCTAGAAACTCCGTCTGCAAAGAGTTATCAAGGTTATTCACAGCATTAAACGAGAATGGATCTAGAATCCAATCCGGAATTTGTAACTTGGTGAAATCTTGATCCATGTCAGTTTTTAATCGATCAAGGTGATTAGTAAAAATTAGGATATTGTCTTCTGGCAGTTCAGGAGTCTCCTTATCTGATATGATCACTTTTTCAGGGTTTAATTCTCTTCTCTCTTTTTCTTTGAAGTTATATTGTTTTTTGTTGGTTTTGTGCGTCTTTTCTATTTTCTGTCTGCTTGAATTCTCGATCTGGCCAAGATAAATTAAGTGATTGTCAAACGCCTGACTAAGGGCTAGTGACTTTTGTTCATTTTGCAAGGGTTCAGATGGTTGCAAGATTTCAGACGATATCTGCTTATTTTTTTCAAATCCAGTTCTATTATCAGGTTTGTTCGAACATGACAAATTGAATCGTTCGGTTATAGTTCCAGAACCATATAAAATTTTCTAGTACACATGCGCGGTAAAAGTATAGTTCTAGAACTGCTGTGTATTGGGACGGGTACGAACACATTTAGGGATCGGGTCGGTCGGTATTGTAGATAACGCCTACTTTATTTACCTAACTGAGCTAACCTAAATATTTGTTTTATTGTTGACGTTTTCTGCTCATTAAATTTAGCGAATAAAATTTTGTAAAGAAATTATTATGGACGGAACAACGTACAAATGGTCAGTAAATGAAACAAAAATTCTACTTGATCATTATTACACAATGAAAAGAAAGGTAGGGACGGAGGAAATCAAAAATATAAAAGAATTGTGGAAAAAAGTATCTGAAAAAGTAAGAGAAGGAACAAATTCGAGGATGAATGAACAACACCGCCAATTTCTGAATAAAATCTTTACCTAGAAAATTCATATTTTTTATTTTTGGTTCCGGAATTGTTTCCAATTCGCTATCACTTGATTCTTCTCCGCTACTAAAATCACTAAAATCCCCGATATCGCTCATTTTCGAACACAACAAATCGAAACTTCGCCAAATTAATTTGTATCAGCGTTTATTGTCACGTCAAATAAATGCAGACAAGTTGACAGCGCATGACAGTAGTGGGACTGAACTATTAGTACTTACTACCGAGTAGGTACTGAAAATACCGTTCACGAACGGTTTCGACATCGTTCCGTTGTAAGTTGGGACATATTTCCGAACTACCGTATTTTCTCGAATCTAATCCGCACACTTTTTACAAATTTTGTATGCTGTAAAATCAAATGCGGATTACAATCGGATGTGGATTACATTGGAAAACCAACTTTTTTTACCATCATTGCATTTTTAAAATCGAGGTGCGGATTAGATTCGAGTGCGGATAAGATTCGAGAAAATACGGTATTTCGAACTGTTCCGTACCAGTTGGGACAGTTTTTATTTAATGCGCATGCGCAGTACAGTTCTAGAACTGTTTTGTCGCCTGTTGGGACAAACCTATCATTAATAATTACGTCCTCTAGAAGTGATGAAGTGGATACCAGAGGTACAACCATATTTTCTTGATTTGTGTAGTTCATAGTAGAAGTTACAACATCAAAGTTAAGGAATCAATCTGATACATTACAGGAATGCACTCATTTTCCATGGCCATTGTAACGGAATTTGTGTAACGACTTGACAGGGTTAATTTAGTAACATCATCAAATTTATTCTTTTCCATTGACTGATTGTGAGCTTTATTGTTATCGGTATTAATATTTATTCCTTCCATTATTGGTCGGACGGAACTTTTAGGGATAGTATTTTCTTAATTTGTTGTTGAAGTATCAAGCGATTTTCTTGGAGATACCAGCGGTTCTCGCGAATCTAATTCATTGATGATTACTTTTGCATTTATACCGTAAGATTCCAACTGACTTTTTATATTATTTATAACTTTTTTTGCAGATCTTATGTCTCTGTGAAATATGTTCATTGGATCTCCGCGAACCGGTTGTTTGTGTTTCTTTAATTTTTCTTACTGTGTTTGCTGTTTTACACTTTGTATAGTCCACAGCGGGATTACTAAAACCCATTTGTAGCGTTTGTTTCAAAATTTGTTCAATCGACAACTATTTCATAAAAAATTAAGCAAAAGTTTATTTTTGTCACACATGAATTTATACTTACAAGCCTACTTTTCCACAGGCGCACAGTTTTTTTCCAGTCAGATTTCATGGGCCTGAAAACACTGACGTCGACAGGTTGGAGAATGTGGGTATTGTTAGATGGTAAAGCATACAAAATAACTTGGTTTTCATCACACTATTGGCTTGTCGACATGGTGAGGTGCGATTTATGTCCGTCGACAAAAAAAGATAACGGGTTTAGGGACCTTTTCCTTTAATAACCATTGATTAGTCATTACTTACATATTCATAGAAAACATCTGATCTCATCCGTCCCTTCTCGGACCTCCCTAATACTCAGCCACTAGGCATGCTATCGACTAATGCCTTTTGCGGTCTTACATAAGGAAACACTACTAAAGATAGGTACACATTTACGATCGACATTGAAAAGTATTAAAACGGTGACGTTTTCTTTTTCATTACCTTGCTGAATTGAGTATAAATTTTTTAAAACCTTTTAGGCCTAGAACTTTTCTTGTTTTTGGACACAATAAAATTGCTATGTGACGCTCGAGATTTTAACCTTTTTCTACGATTTTTTTTTTCGAACTAAATAATTTCAATGTTTTTATATGTCATTATTGGCATCTTATACTATACAAAAATATATGTGTATCTTATTTCATTATATTCTGTTCATGTTTTTTTTTTGATGGCCAAAGTTGACTCTCTCGAAAAAAGGTGGGTGGCTGATGATGGAAGTAGAACTCAACTACTAGTAATCTGAAATCAAATATTCATTTTTTATCAATCTACAGGCCTGCCTTTATCGTCGGAAGCAGATTTATAATCGTACTTAAACAAAAATCAAAATGACGTGTATGCAAAGAAACTATTTCTTAAAACCCATTTTGTTTCGTTGAAAATCGAGTTAACAAATATGAAATTGTTAATGGATTGTCAAACTTCTGCTTCCAACGAGAATGGCTGATGTGTAGAACAATGTTTAACATTGTACCACGATAGGTTGAATCCTTTGATTATATATAATATGGATTGAGCCAACGAGAGAGATAGCTTGCGCAAGGTGATCGAACCGAGATAGACACAGAAGCGTACTGACGTATAATGGGCGTGCGTTAATTTTGGCGGTAAATTTAAAACAAAATTAATAAATGAAANACAAATGACAATATTTATTGACAATATCGTTAATAATGTGTTGCTTAACTTACCTGATAAAATTTTACCCAAAAAGTAACAACGAAACTCACTTAAGTTCTGTCACAATGCTTACTACGTAAAATATAATCGGTAAACGTATACGTACGTTCTTCGTAATTGGAGACTAAATTTTGCAAGTTTGTACAAGATAAAAAATTTCAGGCGCATGCGCTCGTTTCTCGCGAATAAACATGTTAGCAAGACAAATACTTACCTTTCTCGTTCTCAGAAACTCGGAAAACATTAATGAAAAATATACGCTCTTCGTTTAGCAAGCCCACATATAGAAAAACGTATGCGTACGCTCTTAGTAACGAAAGGGTTAATGTATTTTTCTTCGTAGATTTTAATTTTGGGGTTTAAATGGTGGAAAGAATAAAGCTAAAAAGAAAGAGAAATAAATTACGCACCCTAACCCTTATTCCCCCCACCATATGCTCTTGATAATTTTTTCTAGATTATCGTACTTGTCGCATAAAAACAAGTAGATACGTAAAATTTCGTGTTTTTAACCCTAACGGATTTTGAAATAATGATTAATTGTAATCTTCAAAGTATCTTACTTCTTTTCAAGCATTTTAGGACGCACCTTTACATGAATTTTTCTTAATATTTTTTTATGTAGGTTACCCCTTTAAATATAGCTGTAAACGCAATTTCCTGTATATAAACATATTTATAAACATATTTTCGATACTTTCGATACCGATACTTTGCGGGTATCGGGTATCGAAACTTTGCCCAGTACTAGTAGTCACACCAGACCAGAGCAGTAACTGTGTTGGGGGTTTTCAACGGTAGAACTGATATGATAAAACGTTGCCCACACAGCTTTCTTCATAGCCATAATACCTTGACATTTTATCTATAACTTTATTCGCTAATGTCAAAGTTTTTGGGTTCTTTGATTGAGGACTAGTGGACGAATCTCTCTTTGATGTTCTTCTACTTGACCTTCTACTTTTTTGGCGTTTCTCTTTCTTTCTGACTTTTTTTTCTCATCATTTTGAAGTTGTTTTTTAACTTTCAACAACTGAGAGAGCATTTTTTCTCTGCTGTTAAACGCCTATACATGCGTTTTTTTACATGGGGTTCCTCAACCCATCATAAGAATCTTCATCTACTAAGTTTTTAAAAGTCTTTGAATCACCGTTGCCGACAGATTTCGTATATTTTACGCCATACCACTCCATAGATCGTTTAAACATAATAAGTATTCCATCTACTTCCATTTTACCAGCACTCCTATCGTGATTGGCACTACATTCGTCCTTGTGATCTGCGTACCAAGTACTACATGCTTTGCAACTACTTGATTCCACAACTATATCTAGCACTTTCTTTGAGTATTTTGCTATTAAAGAGACCATACCCAAAAGTAAGGAAAATCCTCGTTTTGATCATGACCCATCGCCTGAAACTGATAGTTTGTTCTCAGGGTTCGCACTGACAACATTTTTTTTTATTTTCTTCTTACACTGCTTTTTTAAAAACAATCTGATACGGTTTTTACGGCGGTGCTTATATGCTTGAGCACTAAGTAATAAAGTGAATTACTAAAACCATGACAGAAAAGATTAATGCCGCTTATGCCAACGCCAATCAATCGCATCACCCAAAACAAAACGTCTGTTAATTTCATACGCATTGTTGATCATCGGACAAGAGCACTTCACACACAATTTAAATCTCAATCCACGTTCCGACTTTTTGGAAAAGTTTATATCGCTATTACATAATTTGCACTTTATCAGTGTTTGTAAAGCTCTAAACATCAAACTAAAACTCAATAAAGTATAACTAAATTCTAAATGTACAGTTACTTCAAAATGGCTTTGATTTTTAAGTTTTTCTGTACTAACGCATTTCGTATAATTTTTTGCACATTCGATTTACGGTTTCCTTTTCGATCCATTTTTAACAATGTTAACTCGCTGAAGTTCAAATTACTGTCAATTTGCTTCAGAACACAAAAAAATTTCATCCCATTTCAACAGGATATTTACACCTCTATTAGCACGTGGAAAATATACAATGAAGTGCAAGTGCGCATGCTCAAATTTTTAATAGTCCAAGTGCAGTAAGGTATTGTGGTGCAGGAATACCAAGTTTCTGACCATTTAAAGATAGTAGTCTATTCCTTTTTCTTTCAAATATGTTTTCTGCCTCCGAAAACAACTTTTCTGAACATATAGAACTTCCAGATGCAGTTAAAAACTTCTTTGACATTAACGTGCTGTTGATGCTGTCCGGCCACTTCATTCTGGGTTCCCCATTTCCTTTTTCCTCTTGCCTCCATCATTCTCTTTGGGAACCTCTTATAATCCATATAGATCACGTGCTTGTACCACTGCAACTGTTTGTTCTCCATTGTTTTCACTAAAGGATCTATTCCTAGTTCCTCTCTTGTGGTTGTATTTCTAACTATATCTTCTGGTCCTGACTGTTATGCTTCATTTCTGCAGTTACTTTGATTTTGTGCTTATCCTGCATTGGCCAGGTTTCCGCCTCATACATCTCTTTATTTCTTTACTTAGCTCTTTTTTATTAATGTTATATTAATCTAGTAATACACTTTTGTTGCTTTGTACGTTCTGTCTCTTATTTCCTAATCTATTGTCGTCTATATTCATATTGATTTACTACCTCTAATCTATTCTGGCCACATTTGATGTTTGTCTTCTTCCTAGTTGCCAGTTTGTTTGATAATCTTCATTATTTTAGTTTGCGTTTATTTCCATTCCTGCGTTTTTGTACATTGCTTGTAACTTCCTGATTATATCCGCCAGTAATACTATGCCATTCGCATACACAAGACTTTGAGGCTTACTTCTTCCATTCTCTAGTGGCCGAGTTTTAGGTTCAGTGCCCTCTCTTCACTTTTATTTATGATTTGGGTCATAACTACAATAAACAGAAGTGGGCCTTCATATTGCAATTTTTAGATGTAATCCCTCTTATTTTGACTATTCCTGTTGCTCTTCTCTACAACACTCTTGAGACTTTGATGATCTTGTCAGGTATTCGTACCGCTTCCATGGCTTTCCAAACGGTCTTCTTTGATATACTATCGATCGCTGCACTTAGGTCTATGAATGCCAAGTATATAAGTTTTTCTTTTAATCTCCTCTCTGTGGGGCTAGGCATTTTAATTGAGACAACTTTATAATTCATAAACTATCAATTTTATCAAAAAAAGTTTCAGATAAAACATTCGGTACATGAAAGGGGAAAATATTCTGTATGGTTTTCATGTTGAAGAATACCATACAGAACTTGAGTCGCCATTTTAAGGTGACTTAGGTATAGTAATTTGTTTATGTTCACTAATGGGTGTTAACGGTTAGAGAATGATGATAAGTTTGTTTGCTTCTGGAATAACTGAAGTATTACATATATACTTTGTGAGTTAACGGTTTTCACTGTCGTAAAATGCGCACAATAACAATAAAAGCACGTTTTGTTTTAATACAATTTATTGAGTTTACATTTTGTTACAAATGTGTAGATTAATTAGTCGAAATCTCTCACTATCATCTGCTTACAAATAAATCCAGTACACCTTTCTTTGCAATCTACAATTATTTTGCTTAAGTTTAGTATTCAAATCTCATAACATCAAAACATCTCTATAAATTGTGATTAATTTTACTTTTTTTACTATATTTTTAACATAGATTTCAATAAATAAAACAAATACATTTTTTTTTTGTTAATTCTAGATTATTTCATATGTAGTAACAAAAGTTTTATGAAACGTGAATTAAAGAAATATCATCTCCATTAAAATTTTATTTTTGTTATAGCAAAAAGTAGAAAACCACCGATTTGAGGTATGGCCCGGCTATGACACGTCCATTAGACAATATGAGCATTCAGTGATGATGAATGTAGAAATAATCAGCAAGTGTATGCGTATTGACACAGCCCTTGATTTCCTCAATGAGTGTCATCAAAACGATCGGGGCAATTATCAAGACAGTTTTGCACGAGAAATAATTGGCAGTGTTGTTATCACCAAGTATAATAACAAGACTTATATGGTTGATGACGTTGATTGGACTTCTAAGCCAACGAGTCGTTTTCAACGCAAGGATGGGAGTGAAATTAGTTACATCGAATATTTTCAAACGGTATATTTTAATTTTTATAAAAATTTTAGATATGCTTAGTGATTCTTTCATTTTAATTTTTAGCGTTATAAGGATCTTTGCATTCGCGATAAAGGCCAACCTATGCTGGTATCAAGATCAAAAGCAAGGGAAATACGATCTGGAATGCCAGAAACTGTTTATCTTGTGCCAGAACTTTGTACAATGACTGGCTTGACCAACAGCCAGAGGTCTAATTTCCAATTCATGTCTGCATTAGCTAAGCACACGCGAATTAGCCCTCAGGATCGCGTTAATAAATTAAGAGACTTCCATAAGAGATTGGCTAGTAATCCAGATATTCAGAGAGAACTACGGCAATGGGATATTAAATTTTCCAATGAATTGGTCCATTTTGAAGGTCGATGTCTTGCGAGGGAACAGATTAAATATCATTCTGATAGTATTCCTGCTGCCGAGGATGCCAGTTGGACTAGAGATTTGCAAAAACAACGCATGTTATATGAGGCTCCACTAACTAATGAGCATGGTGGTTGGGTTGTAATGTGTACCAGACATGATGTTAGTGATGTGAACAAATTTATTGGTGAGTATTTAATTTTGTTGAATTTGGTATTGATTTACATAAGCGAAAATAAGTATGGAAAAATACAACCTGAAAATATTCCATAACATTGTTGTTGAGCGATTTATTTATGTTAAACCTAATGAAATAAGAATAAAAAATAATGCTGAAATTAGGTATATTAGGCACAGGTAGAGTAACATTGGTATTTCATTCTTTCACTTAACTAATCCACTTGTGACAGGGCTCTTGATGCCAATCAATTCAACATGACGCGTTTTCATGGGATTTCCTTATTTGGATAGGATAGGAAAGTAGGTCACCCTAGATCTTGCTTTGTATTATGTTCTTCAGGTATCTCGACATCACAATTCCTTTCGTTGTTTGAGTGATAACATCTTCTAGAGGTTCCTCCTGCTCATAATATGACACCAAGATATTTAAAACTCATCTCATCACTTTTTNTTTGTTACACTACCGCCGCTAATATAGGATAATTATAATAATGTACAATTTTCCTTTGTTCTTTTATGGCAATAAAGTTTGTTTATTATTATTATTATTATTATTATTAAAAACCAGAGTCTCACTCGAACCTTCCACTAAGACTCTTAACCGACACCGAAATAAGTTACTTTTTTCGAAAGGAGAAATTTAATTTAATTTAAACCGAACTGAACTGTCTCGCCGAAGAAGAGAGAAATTAATTTTAATTTAAACTGAAAAACTGACTCAAAATGCGCTCCTCCTCAATATTTAAACCTTTACCCCCTGGATACCCTTTCCTCTAGGAAAGTCCTTATTGGCCAACGCATGGTTCAACCAATTAGAAATTGCAACATCAGCAATTAAACAAAAGAGAGGGAAGGAAAACAAAAGGAAAACGTTTTCCCCCTGGACGCTCTTAACTCTAAGAATGATCTTATTGGCCAATGCATGGTTTAACCAATCAAACAATTACAACTATAACAATTGGACAAAGAAAAGGAAGGGAAGGATGAGTCGAGCAACGATCCCCTCCTTCAGAGAATGAATAATACGGATCGCTACAGTTAGTTTGATCACAAAAAAATAAAATAATACACAGGCTCAGGTGAATTAATTCAGAGATTGGTTAGTAGTCAAAAAAATGAAGTTATGTCAAATTGATCTTAGCATTATTTTATTTTTTGTGAGCAAACTAACAATTTGGTAGTTGTAAAATGTCAAGAGAGAAGAAAGTTGCAGAGTTTTTCCCTTAACTTTAGAAGGCTATAACTTGGAGAAGAGATTAATATTATTTTTTTTAATTTTCGCTGAAAAATCACCCCCTGATGAAATCTTTCGCATCAATTTCCTGTATATTTCGAAAACCATACTTTTTAAAAAACAAATTATTCGTTTCTCAAGTTTATACTTTTTCTTTTTAAAAAACTTTTTACTTTTCTAAAACGTTATTATATTTCTTTATTTGTAATGGTCACCAAGCTGTTACTGTTGTCTTATTTTGAGATTATGTTAAGTATGTATTGAAGTTACTCATCAAATTTAAATTCAAATAAATTTTGTTGGGATTGTTAAATTTGAATTTGTTTATCTCATAGTTTTTGAGACTTTCCATTAAACTGCCTTTGTTTTTGCATTGAATTGATGGTCCTGATTAAAAATTAAATGTCTTCTAAAATTTGATTTAGTTTGGTTCTTGTGCCCTCTAATTCTTGTCTTCAACCATCTTCTTATCCCGCCTATGTAAGTAACTTGGCATGTTTTACATACAAGTTTGTAGACTCCCTTGTTGACGAGTTTTTCAATTTTGTCCTTGTTGTTCATGTATAATTGATTGATTGTGTTATTGCTCTTTGAGGTGAGTTTTTTTTCTTTTTGAAAAATTCTCTTCAATTATTAATGTCTCCCTGAAAAGTTATAGTTCTGTATGTTTTATTATTGTTTTCCTTCTGTAGGTTTAATTTTGTTAGTTATGTTTTCTTGTTTCTTTGCTTATCTATAATTCTGTCAATAATTTACTTTTACCTATCTGTTTTATTAGTGCTGTTTCTTTCTTAATTTCGTCTTCTTTTAGTTTTGTATTGTCATTTCTGTCAATGTATGCCCTGGAAACTGCTGGTTTTTGTGTGTAGTTGTGATGTGAGTCTTGTGGAATAATTATGTCTGTTTGTGTCTTTTTCCTACAAATATCTAGATGTTATCTTTTTTCGTCTCCAATATGACTTTTGTGTCTTCATGCAATCTTAATTATATTTCCTTCTTTTGTATTTATGATAACAAAGATATATCTTTGCCAAAGAAGTATGTTGTTTTTATAGAAATTCCTGTTGTTAATCATCAATTCATTCTCTAGATTGTCCAGAAAGATGTCAGCTGACTAAGTGGTGATCCCATTGGAAGGCCTTTTATAAGTGTTAGGGCTGCAAAAATTAGTTTTTTTCCTCCAGTATATTCTTAAGAATTTTTAATGTATCTGGGGTTGGAATATTTGTATAAAGGTTTGTTATATCAAAGAATAACATAGTGTATTCTTTAGGAAGTATCAGTTTCTCGATTTTTGTCATAAATTCTTTCCAGTTTTTTATTGTGTATTTCATTGTAAAATCAGTGATGTCACCAAATATATTTATTAAAGATTTATTACATTTATTAGTCAATTGATGATATTGGTCTAATAGTCAAATTTGGTTTATGCAATTTTGGGAAACAGTATAAACGTGGTATTTTAAGATTCATAGGTACCAGTGATTTGGGGTTTTTATTCAGTTTTAAGATTGTATCTTCAGAATCTTTTATCACTTTTTTGATTTGTTTATTAAAAGTTGTTAAAGGGCTCTTTGATGTTATTTTGAAATTATTGTCATTCAAAAACGTTTCTGTTTTTCCTATGTATTTTTGTCTGCTTTTGTAATTGTTAAATTTTGTTTCTTGATCTTCCTTTTAATGTTGTTCATCGTTTTCCACTCTTCCTTCATTTTCTCTTTTCTTTCCCTAGTTCCTTTTGACTCTTCCTTTATTAGTATTTGCTGTAGTTCCTTTTGTAAAGTGTCATTATTAGGTATTATTTTTGTTAATGCTTCCAGTTCTATGAAAATTCTTCTTAGGTTAAGTTTCGTTGGTCTGCCTAATACTGCCTCATAAAATTACTTTATTTTTGTATAGAGTGTATTACACGTGCAGCACATGGTATGGGTTGGCGAATTCCTAAACCACGTGACGTTGTGGTTACAAACGACGACCGTACAGGAACACTCCTTGCTCATCTCGACGAAATCATCACTCATGCCAAACCACAGTTGATTTTCAATGCAATTAGTGGGAATAAGCCTGATCGTTACAATGCTATTAAAAAGAAATGTTACGTAGAAACTAGTACAGCTAATCAAGTGGTGCTTGGACGTACTATGAAAGGTAAAGCAGCGATGTCTGCGGCTACAAAAGTAGCTATCCAAATGAACTGTAAACTTGGAGGAGCACCATGGTCGGTATCTTTGCCACCCGATACTATGTTCGTTGGATTCGATGTATGCCATGATCCAAAAGATCGTACGAAAAATTATGCGGCGATGGTTGCTATGTTAGACCAGCGTGGTACACAATATTACAGTAACGTACAGTCACATTTTAAAGGAGAAGAAATCTCCAACTATTTTGGCACAGCCTTGGCACAGGCTATGAAGTCTTATCAGAAACTCAACAAAGTACCACCTGGTAAAGTAGTTATTTATCGTGATGGTGTTGGTGACGGTCAAATTCCTTTTATTTTGGAACATGAAGTTGATCATATTAAAAGTGTTCTGAAAAGAGTATTTGAAAATGCTGAGCCAAAAATGGCATTTAATATTGTGACAAAGAGAATATCAACTAGGATGTTCTCAACGGATAGAACTGGTAGATACTTTAATCCACCACCAGGAACTGTGGTAGATGATGTGGTGACTTTACCAGAAAGGTAAGATATTTACGTTTTTAAAGATATTAAGAAGTAAATAAGTCTTTTAAAAATTAATAATTATGTTTAGAACAAAAATTATTGTTCTTTATTAAACGTTTTTGTTTTATTTTGTAGGTACGATTTCTTTTTGGTGAGTCAATGTGTACGTCAAGGCACAGTAACGCCAACGTCATATAATGTAATACATGACACCACAGGTTTCACCGCGTCACAAATGCAGCGTATGACTCATAAATTGACACATATGTATTTTAATTGGTCAGGAACCATTAGGGTACCAGCTCCATGTCAATACGCTCACAAGTTGGCGTTTATGGCGTCGCAGAACCTCCAACGTGCCCCGAATGCGGGCATAAGTCACACATTGTTCTACCTCTAAACCTTTCATACTTTTATAATATTTTGTATTACGTTAGTTATTAATACCCAGCAACATAAAATGTCCAAATATTTTTTAGTTTCACTTTATTAGTTTCAGTTTATTATAAAACTGGGTGTTAAAATGATTAAGTTTAAGTTCATTAGAAATAAAGTTTCAGTTTATTTTTTGTAATAAATTTATCATTTTATTATTATTTCTTTTTCAGAAAAATAAAAGCGTAAGTAAATCTTAATCTAAATGTTTATTCTATTTTCCAGTCTAATAGTTTCATGAAGTCTTCATCAGCCTTTTCAGTTAATTTAATGCTTTCAATATGCATCTATAAACGATTTTTTATTTTTATTTGATATTATTTAGGAAAATTGTATGTCAACAATGGCAAGACCTGGAAGTTTGGAAAAAAATCTTATCAGCAGAGTGGGTAAGAGAAATTATTTTGAAGATTCGTAATTGGATAGGAAATATAAAATTTCTGCTATCTTTGAAAGTTAGATGATGAGCTATTACAACTTTGACATCATTTAATAGCTTGCGTCCTTGTGCTTTGCGACATTTGTCATAATAAGGGAGGGAAAGGCCAATGCGTTTGCAAATATATTTTTTTTTATATTATGTATAACACCTCGTAAATCCATACTAATTAGTTACTTATTTTTGACACAAAATTAAACAAGATAATGTTTTGCAGCTTTTCCCAGTGGTCTAGTCTGCTTTACACATATTATGTGGAACGCAGACTGGACTCATATTTTTAGAGTTTTAAGATCGTAACACAAAACGCGCGCACTGCGATGCCTGGACACACATTTCGTTTATTACTGTTTTTGTTATAATTACGCAATATTGCTTGCGTTTGAATCGACTACTATCCGTGCAAAAAGTCGAGGCCCCCCACTTTAACACGTTAACTGCCAAAGTGAATTTAATAGTCTTGCCAATAACGCGGTGTCCACCCATATGGGTGGACGTGGCAGCGAACGTGTTAAAGATCGATATTTTCGTAACCGCTCGATGCAAAAAAATTGCGGTAAAGTTTATTGTAATCAGTGAACATTTCTGCGTATCACATGTTAATTTGAAAATTTTAGGGTCCGCGGTTTCTCTTTTATCGCGAGTTAAGTGAAAAAAGTACTCGATTTTTAAGAGTTGCTGGCACTCAAAAATCGGAAAAAACTTTGTCTATTTTGCCCTTTTTTTTCTCCAAAACTATTTGACGAAAAAAATTTCAAATTTGAACTGGTGGTAAACCGATGTGTTCTTAATGTGGGGCATATTTTACTTTTTCGATATTCCATATAGTTTCGCGGTTTAGTAGGATGCGGTTATTTCGGAAACGACCTGGCGGATTTCAACGACGTTTTTACCAAAATATGTCAAATAATATCGGTTGTCGAATTCCGTTATCAGTTTTTCAAAATTAGGGCTCCCTAATTTTTTAAGAGCGATTTAATGCAATAAAGAGTAACAGAAATAAGCTATGCGGGGAGAGGAGGGGTCCGTCCAATCGGAACAGATGGTGCGTCCTAGACAGTACGTCGCACCTTTATCTTACCTACATAAAGAAATAAGGCGCGTGGCGTCCTGTCTGGGACGCACCATCTGTTCCGATTGGACGAAACCCCCGTAACATTTTTTCGTACGATAGTTTTCGAGAAAAAAAATCGCAAAGTTGCCGGTGCCGTAGAAAGTCGGGTACTTTTTTCATTTAATTAGCGATAAAAAGAAAACGTGGATCCGAAATTTTTCAAATTAACATATGTTACGTAGAGATGTTCAGTGATTACAACAAACTTTGTCGCAATTTTTTTTATCGAACGGTTGCGAAGATATCGATCTCTAAAGTGAGGGGCCTTAACTTTTTGAACGGATGGTAAGGCATTATAGTCTCGATGTTGGGATGATCGTGCATTCTCGTCCCATGTGTAGATGCGAATGATGCAATTTCTGATGACACTGATGCTATTTCTAAGTCCAGATGGAAGTCGGTGTTTTTTATACAGGTGTTTATAAATCTAGGTGGTATCGCTTCAGAATAATGTATCCTACAACCGTATAACGCTCTGATGCGAAAAATACGGGACACCTGTATACCAAGCTACATTCACTATGCAGCTTAGTACTTTGTTGGGAATCTTTGAATCTGACTTGCACTTGTCATGCAGGTACAACCCCACAGTTGGATGCGGTATATCCATTTTGATTTTAATATTTGCTTGTATAATTAGTAACTTGTTTCTTAGTGATAACTTAGATTTTCTGCCAATAAGCTAATATAGGTGTCTAAATTTGATATCAAGTTCCTCACGTTTTTTTTTTCGCGTGAGCTTTTCATTTGAGTTTATATATTATATATCCAGCGTCATACCAAGGCGTAAGGGACGCATTGCTATTTATGTGTACTGGGAGTAAACTATAGTTTACTTTCTTATAAGTAAAGTTTATGTATGTTGATTTATTTGTCCATCGTTTGGTCCAGTTTTCTATTGAATTTAAGTCCAATTGTAACTTATTTGCTGCAACTACATTATTTTCTACAACGACCAAGATCGCTGTGTCATCTACGAATGTAGCTGTTAAAGTTTCTGGTAACCGAGGAAGGTCGAATGTGTAGAGTAAGTACAGTGTTGGGCTAAGTACACTCCTTGAGGAACGCCGGCTTGTATTTCATGTAGTGGTGAATAAGCTTTTCGTATTTTACTCTAAAATATCTATCAGAAAGATACTGTTTTAATAGTTGACTATGCGTTGATAGTAGTATTTGGTTTAGTTTGTAATTTAAACCATCTAACCAGACTTTGTCGAAAGCTTGTGCAACATCCAAATTGATGTGTTGGTATTAGGGCTTTTTCTTCTATGACAGGTTTTAGTCATTTTAGTAGTAATTTTTCAAGTAGTTTTGATAGTAAGGATAATAATGAGATTGGCCTATATGATGTATCATCTGGGGTTTTCCAGGTTTTGGTATTATTACTATTTCAGCAACTTTCCATATACTTGAGAAGTATTTCCGTTTAAAAGCAGCATTAATTAAGTGTAATAGTTTTGCAATCGCCCGTTTTGGTAGATGTTTGAATGTTTCTCCATTAATTAGATCATAGCCTACTGATTTCTTTATATTTAGATTTTGTATTTCATAATACAGTTTTTTCATTCTAACACATGGTATATTACTCTGCTGATTACTTTGAATTATGCTAGGAGTACTATTTAACATAGTTGTTGGACTGTCTGATGTAAAAATTTCTTTCAGATGTTCAGCATACATATTAACTTTATTTTGATTGCTTTTAGCCCAATTTCCATTCCTATTTTGAATTGGAGGTGTATGTATTTTTGGAACTTTAAGCTTTCTTGTTGGTTTCCACAGAGAATAAACGGTACTGGCATCGTCAGTAAGATCTTTTAAGTAATTTTGAATATTATTGTTTGTGGCTATCTGTTAATGCTCTTAATTCGGCTATTATTTTATTTAATTTAATCACTAAGAATTCTACTGGTTTACCATTTCTTTCTTGCTTTCCGTATTTCCGCAATTTTGTCTTTAATGAATTTATGATATATGTTAGATTTAGGTTTTGGTGTTAAAATAGGTGTTGAGGCCCAGGCTGAGTTTTGTACGTCTTTTAAGACCTTTTTTACTTCCTTGTCAATATCTTCGTTTGTTATGTCTTCGTTCATAAGAGCATTAAGATGAATTTTATTATCTAATGTTTGTTGAAATAGATTGCAATTAGTGAATTTATTTGTTAGTGATAAAAAGGGTTCTTTGTTACATAGTTTGTTATTTAGAGTAATTATTATTGGTGAGTGATCTGAGTCCAGCCCTAACTCTTCTTTTATATTTACGAAGTTAAGCGATATATTTTTCGTAATAAAAAAACCAAGCAGGTCCGGAATTTTACTTCTATCTGTTGCCCAGTAAGTTGACTTACCAGTGACTTACACAGACTTTGGTGTGGCTCCAATCTTGACACTTTTTGCATTGAGGCATTTGTTTTGGCTCTCTGTACTCTTCGATTGCGCATTCCTAATATGTTTGTTATTTCATGGATTCTTTTTACATCTTATGACGGTGCAAAATCCAAGATGTATAAAGGAAGAGGCTCTTTTGTTTTGTATTTTAACATTTGGGTTGCTTTACAAATGTTATAATTGTGCTCCAATAGTTCATCTTTGATATCATTAACATCACAGCTTTTATGCATATTTTTAGGTTTTCAGATTTCTGGTTTGATTATTTTCATAAGTGGACCAGGACAAATTCTTTTCAATAAGCATCTTCGATAATTCAGGTTTACTGTGCCGTTATTTAGGGAATGTGTTAGAAATCCATCTTTAATTATGCTCTTAAGTAATTTATAAATGTCATCATATTGTTTGACATTATAAATTAATATTGCTAGGGGTAGTTATACCTTTGTTTTGGACTCACCGTTATAGACTCTTCTGCAGCTTCTTGTATACTAGATTTTATTTGCTGCCAGCACTTCACGTTCGTAGAGTTTTCTTGTATTTTCTGCCAATAGGAATTCAATGTTGTATTTTATACAAGTATATCTCTTTTTTGATCTATAACGTTTTACATGATCCTTATAATGTGGTGACTTTGTATTTCACAAATTCATTTTTACTATACAACTCGTCGGCTTTAAATTTAGTTTTTTTAATAAACGTCATTTACTAACGCAGAAGTATATGATGTGTTATGGCCTTATTTTCAATGTTTCCAAAATACTGCAATTGCGTCGCGAGAATATGCAATGCAATTTCCACAAAGAAGACATTTTTCTCGAGAAGAGTTTTCCAGATTGGCTAAGCGATTACGGGATATTGGCAACGTGCAGCCCATTCAGACACCTCAAAACTTTCGTAGAACACAAGATTCTTCAAGAGAATAATATGCGTCCGTTCCACACTGTTTTACATCAGGCCTTAACAGATATCGAGTATGATAACATTTAACTGAACTACTGTCATTGGTTGTTAAATATGATTCTGGAAAATCCAACTTTTTTATCACTAATACTACGGACGGATCAAAATCGCTGGAGTTTAAACGAATGGTGTGGAATCATGGAAGGAAAAGTTATAGGTTCACACTTTTTTTAGACGAAGCCCTTCACAGAGAACGGTTTTTGAAAAACGTGCATGATGATGATGCACTGCCGCATACTGCAGCTGCGACAAAACAGCTCTTCCAGCCTTTCTGATGTAATATTTTTTGTTACCCACCATACACCTTGGACTTGGCTTCCTTCTATTTCCATATCTTTGCCCACATTAATCGTTGGCTAGCAAGACAGAAGTTTGTCTTAGACAACGAGTTGCAGACCAGCGTCGAAAATTGGATCAAAGAACAGGACGCTGCCTTTTATGATGAGGGTATTGGAAAGTATGGTGAATCCCCCAAAATCGAATCATACGACGATGCGCAGATTTGGGAGTCCCATCATTCACATCTTATAAGGCGTTGACTGGTTATCTGTTGGTTTTTGCAATGACGAATAAGTAGTAACCGAATGAACAAAAACGAAGAACGAAATAATCCAACAGTTGCAGAGTGGAAAGAATTTCATTGTAGTCGCAGATGGATTGAACGTTTCAAGAAACGTTGTGGAATCAAAACTGGAAAGATTGTGTGTGAAGCCGGCGCAGTATGCACGGGTGTGGTGAAAAATTTGTTGGAAGAAAAATGGCCACATAAACGGAAAAATTATGAAGACAGAAACATTCTGAACGCAGACGAAACGGGTGTGTTTTATAAATTAACACCGGAAATATATACAAGTGGAAACCAATCTAAAAAGAGAGTTTCTGTTGTAGTAGCAGCAAATTTTATGGACATAGAGAAAATGAAGTTATTGGTCATCGATAAATCCCGAAATCCACGCTACTTCCGGAACAGAAACACTCCTGTCAAGCATACATCGAACGCACGAACTTGGACGTTCAATTGAGATGAGAAAAACGGAAAATTATTTTATTAGTAGACAACTGTTCAGCACATCCGGAACGAATATGACTAACATCACTTCAAAACTGCAGCCGTTATTTGTTCAAGACGAAAACAATAATTAGTAACCATAAAGATGACGCTGACGGTACAGGAATCAAGGTAATATCGGCCTGCCAGAACTAACGATTACAGAGTTAGAACAAAACATCAACGCAATTTCATGCGAAAGTGTTGCTCTACAATATATTCTTAATAACTCTGGTAATGTAAAAATGTTCTTCGACGAATTATTTCTCACAGTATAACAAGCAAAAATATCTGATTTTTTATTTGTTTATCTAAGTTATCAAATTATGTCAAAGTTATAGCTCATAATCTAATTTTTCGAGCTAGCAGGAATTTTATACAGTGTCCGCCAAAAAGTCAGCAACACCCGTTTTATTTCTGTTCCATTGCATCAACGCTTCTGACATTTAGCTTATATGGGAGGTTCATACCAATCTTTCGATCTAAAGTATTTTCAAGATAGTGGCCACTTCCGGTCCTACGGAAGTAGACCTCAACTTCGTTATTTTAAATGGAATGCACCATTTAAAATTTTGACTTTCTTGCCATTGAATGCGGAAGAAAGGTAATTCACTTTTTGACCAATCTGTACAAGATACTATGATACAGCAAATGACAATCTATTTTATAGCATTGAAGAGTAATCGTGCCAATTTAGAGCTTTTTTGAATGAACGTTTGAACGTTCGTATAATTAAAAGGTGCAATAAAAACTATAGCATTCCATTTAAAATAACGAAATTGTGGTCTACTTCCGGGGTACCACAAGTGGCCACCATCTTGAAAATACTTTAGATCGAAAGGTCGGTATGAACCTCCCGTATAAACTAAATTTCAGAAATGTAGATGCAATGGAACAGAAATAAAACGGGTGTTGCTGATTTTTTGGCGGACACTGTATATCGGTCGAATTACGAAATTCAAAATAATTTAATTCTCTTCCCCACTTTGCTAATAATATTTTTTTCCTAAACCTCTACGTCTTACCATTGTCGAGATACAACCGCTCTGTACCCTTATCAGGACACCTGTGTTTACTTACCTTTTGTTTTTTTAAATTATTTATAAGAAGTAGTTGCTTTTTAAACCCATTTAAAATTTCCATTTTGTGTCTTTCTATTCTTTTAATAACTCCGCTCAATTCACTAATTTGTTTTTTATGCGTTTCTCTTAGTTCCTTTTCCTCTTGTTTAGCATTTTTATAAGCAGCTTTATGTTTTTCTACATCTTCAGATGCCTTTTTCCACTTTACCTCCATATTAGCTAAATTTGCGGATTCATTTTTCAATTCTTTCTGTAATTGATCGATTTCTTTTTTTAAAGAAACATTTTCGTTTTCTCTCGATTGTAATTTTGAGGTAAGCATTGAAATTTGCGCTTCCATTTTGTGCATTTGAGTTTTATTGCCGGTTGAAATTTGAAACCATTTCTCTTTGTCTTCCGCAAGTTTTTGATTATCTTTTTGAATACGCTTAAATTCCTCATTCTAAAATTAAGATATTTTTAAAACTTGAATGATTTTGGATTCTTCTAATAACACAACTCTTACTTTACTTCTATATTCAATTTGTAGCCTATCAAAATCACTTTGCATTTTACGAATTTTTGCACGAAAAAAATGATTCATTCCTTTCGTTCCCATATCATTAACAGAATCCGGGATATTATCAGTTACACTATTACTTATTTCTTCACTTTTATCTTGTTGGTATTCTGATAGTTCTTGATAAAATTTTTTGCTGTGTTTTGGTACAAATTCAACTTTTTCCATTACCAGTGGATTTTTCGTAAGATTATCTTGAATCTTCTAATTATTTGTCAAAATTTTAGTTTTTAAATACCATCTTTCAATTAAATACTTTAAACTTACCATGACTACATCTACTTCTTGCATTAACTCTTTCGTTTTATTTTCCAATTCATCGTTTAATTTACGATATTCTTGTTCTTTTTGTAATAAATCACCCATTTTTTTTGCACACTTGACAATACTATTCAAACTGAAATGTTTCCTCAGTAATTTCCATGGCAATATACATAGCTATTGATATTTCCATAGCAACATCTTTTTTTTTTAGACCCTCTACTATTTTAGAGTTAATATGAGTCATTGTAGGAATTGATACAAATACATACAGTGTGACCCATTTGAAAGCACCCTCGTTGTATTCATTATCCGATTTCGACAATTTTTTTTTTTTTAATTGTAGACCGAATAAAACTACCTTCGTACAAAGAGTCATATTTTTCTTAGAAAAACCAAGGCCTACTATTTCACTTTTTAGGTGTTCAAAATGAAGAAAATATATTAGAAAATTTTTTCCAAAAAAATCTGAGTACACTACTGCATTAAGCGCCTTTTGAAATGGGCATATACCAAATTTCATCAAAAATGGTTAGAAATAGTCACTAACCAAGGACAGTAGAATCTAATAGGACTGCTACATCCATTGTTGTGACAACCTGCCCGCAAACTACGTCACACCATATTCCACGCCCAGGTGTTGTTATGGTCTATGCTTTTGCTGTGTATTTTTAGAGGTTGTATCCTAGACGTATTAATATTATTTTTGAAGTTTTATGTTTTTAGACGTATTAATGTCTATCATATAACCTCTAAAAACACAGACAGTTACCAGGCGTGGCAAATAGTATGACGTAGAGTGCGGGCAACCAACCCGTAGACTACCGTGGACTACAAAAATATAATGGATGTAGCAGGTTACTAACAGTGTATTTATTGTTATTAAAAAACCATGATTTTTTGAAATAACCATAGTAATTTTTTTCTTTACTAAGTTAGCAGCTTCACTGTTTATGCTATTAACTAAATCCTGAGGTTGTGTCACTACATAAATTTACGTAGTAAGCGGAAGCTCAGATATTTCTAATGTTTTTATTGATGCCCTAAGGAAGCCATAATTTGATGCAATAAAAATCGAGTCTGATTTTATTGTATGGTCATTTAGTGGATACTTTTTTTTGAAATTTTCATTGACACAGCGACTTCTTCGTCGAATGCATCAAACACATTCCCAATTTTTTCGAAGTTAGTGCCATAGTAGTTACCGGTTGTGGAGAAAGAGTGAGATAAGGCGCTATTGCGTTAAAAATTGCTATTCTTGACAGCGCTTTTAAAAATACTTTTTTACATTGGCAACAAACCGATCGACGTTAGTGTTCACGCTTCGAATTTGCTCACAAACTCGATGAAGTCTGTGTGCAAGACAAATGAAGTGTGTCACTTTTGGATAAAACGTTTGTATTACTTAAGCTGCTTTTACCATGTAGGGAGTAGCATCTGATACAACTCTATTGAAAGACTCACTCAAAATCTTAATAGAATCATCAAAAAGCTTTGCAATAGTGCTATAATTCGCATTATCAAGCACGAAACAGAAATTGTTGTTTACCGATCAACTCATCATGATTTAAAATATGTACCAATAATGACATTTGCCACATATCTTCCTGTTACATCTGTTGTTTCGTCGATTGAAATCCACAAGAAGCGATCGTTGATGCATTTCTGTATGTATTCGGTATTTTTGTAAAGTTCCTTAACATAGTTTGCGCGAAGAGTACTTTCCGATGGTACTTTGTACTCTGTGTATAATTCTAGGAACGATACTCATTTTTTGTTTGCGCATTTTATATAGGGGTATATCAGCGGAAATTAATGCGTTACATAGATCTGCTGCAAATTGAACATCTTTTGATTTAGATGTGGAACATTCAGCAAAAAAAGCCTGAATAGTTTCTTCTAGTTTTAAACTTGCTAGATATTTGCTGCACAATGGAACTTATTAGAAACTATATTGAAACTTATTGGAAAATAAAATATTGAAAATATGCATTTATTTCGAAAATAATAGTCATAGAGATAAAATAAGCAAAAATATGCTCTAACAAATACAGTTCAAAATTCTTAGTTTGGTCTGAAAAAAATTTCTGTCTTGTCTATTCTTTTATCGAAAAAAATATACGGTTGCTCTATTTATACATAAATTAATGTAGAAAGAAAAAATGAAACGTATTTAAATCATTTTTACATACACTGCGCCAGTAAAGTTTTTGAAATAGGTCTACAGATTTAAATATTTTCTGTAGATTTTAAGTCATTTCTGCCATTTGTAAACGCGTTATGACGTGATCGATTTTTTTTCAAATAGCAATTCCCATGTTTATTACGGCATATGAAAGACGATATTTTACTGTTCAGATATTCCCATAGGAAGAAGTCTCTAAACAGCTCTCTCAAGTTACTGGTCCCTCAAAAAAGTAAGGACACAGGATATTAACCCGTACTATTCCGTGCCATACATTGAAAAAAATTATGATTTTGACGAAGTGTTAGTCGTCGTGCATGGGTGGGATCCAGAGGGATGGAAAGTAGGGGTAATTTGCCCAATTACTAGACTGGGCATACAAGGTGTACACGAAGATACTGCTGGGAAGACCGGAGGAGGAGATGGACTTGGGGGGAATTTTGCCGGATGGGCAGGCAGGCTTTCGGAAGGGAAGGGGAGCAATCGACAACGTGTACGTGTTGAAGCATCTGGCAGATAGAGAGCTGGATAAGAAGGGAGGGAAATTGTACGCCTTGTTTATAAATTTGAAGGCGGCTTTTGATAAGGTGGATAGAGGGAAGTTGTGGGAGGAGATGGGGAGGAGGGGGATCACGGAACACCTAATTGCTAGGATAAAAGGCAGGGATGTCCGCTGAGCCCAAGTCTGTTTGCACTGTATACGGCGGACCTGGAGGATAGATTGGGGAAGGGGCAGATGGGAGGGTTGGTGGTGGGATGTAGAAAGGTGTATACAGGGTGTTTCATGAAGTTCTCCCGGCACTAATGGAGCATGTTGTTTAGGTGATTTGTAATAAAAAAGTTCATATGAACATATGTCCGATTCACTTCACTTATTGAGTTATATGAATTTGAAAATAATATTTAAAAATTATGGCGTTACGGCCCAGCGCGCGGGGCTCAAAGGGTAAGTGTGGTATGACTGCATTAGTAAAATAAAGTACTTATTTACCTTACTGTCAAATTTGACAAGCTTGCCGTTTAATCTAAAATTATTTGAGTTTTATTTGCGTACAATGCCGTTTAAGTTTACGACTGTTGAGTATGCTGATATGGTTTTTGTACTGAGAAATTGTGATAGAAACGCTACTGCAGCTTCAATTGAATATCGACGACGTTTTCCAAATCGGCGTGTTCCATCGCCGAAGACTTTTAGTAGTACCTTCCAAGCTCTCCGAGAAACTGGTTTACTTCCGAGCTTTCATATACAGTATGAACGAACAATACAACAGAATGTTGCAGAGGAAGAGAACATCCTTGACATTGTCGATCGTTCCCAATACCAGGGTATGGAGAACATTAAAGAGAAATCTGCTGCATCCGTATCATCTACAGTGTGTTCAACATCTGAAGCCAGAACACTTCCCTAGGCGTTTGGCATTTTATCAGTGGTTAAATAATAATCGGAACTTATACCGCTACATTTTATTTACGGATGGGTCACAATTTACTCGAGATGGCATAAATAACATCCATAATTTGCATAAATGGTCGGACATTAACCCTCATGCTACCATAGAAAGTAATTTTCAAAGCAGATTTAGTATTAATCTGTGTTGCGGAATGTTGTACGATCAACTTATAGGACCGTTTATTTTTGAAGATCGTCTTACCGGACAAAGGTACTAGCAATTTTTGGTAGAAAAACTTCCGCGTTTACTGTGGGATGTACCTCTGGCAAGACGATTAAGAATGTATTTGCAACACGACGGAGCTCCTTCACATTTTTACCGTAGAGTCACCGATCATCTAAATGAACGTTATCCTAACCGCTGGATCGGTCGAGGTGGACCGCACGTTTGGCCAGCCAGATCTCAATCCTCTGGATTATAACATGTGGGGTTGGATGAAAGATTTAGTATATCAAGATTAGTAGATACACGTGAGGCTTTAATCCAAAGAATTTTTGACGCTGCAACGCAAATAAAGGAGCACCGTGCAAAGATAAAAAATGCAACGCGAGCCGTTCACAGGAGTGCAGATAAGTGTATTGAAGTAGGAGGTGGAATTTTCGAAAATGTTTAAAATTAATAAATTACTTTTTCAAATTATAATAAAAAGTAACATTATCGCAATTACTTTATTTTTAAATGTATAAGTGTAGCTCAATAAATAAAGTGAATTGTCTTGCTCAATGCTTTTTTTTTCTGGTCAAACATGACGGTAACCTAAATAAGTACTTTATTTTACTAATGCAGTCATAGCACACTTACCCGCTGGGCCGTAACGCCATAATTTTTAAATATTATTTTCAAATTCATATAACTCAATAAGTGAAGTAAATCGGACATATGTTCATATGAACTTTTTTATTACAAATCACCTAAACAACATGCTCCATTAGTGCCGGGAGAACTTCATGAAACACCCTGTATGTTAGCATACGTGGATGACATTGTGGTCATGGCGAGAGAAGCGGTGGTGATGAAGGATATGATAAAGACATTGGAACGATATTTTAGGGGGAAGGGGCTGGAAGTGAATGTGGGGAAGACAAGGATGATGAAGTTTTGTAAGGGTGGGAGAAAAAGAACAGAAAACTTGAGATGGGAGGGAAAGGAGATCGAGGAGGTTAGAGAGTATACTTACTTGGGATATGTGTTTAGGGAGGATAACAGGGAGGGGTCGCATGTGATAGCTATGGCAAAAAAGGCGAATAAAGTGATGGGACAAGTATGGGGTTGGGGGAAGAGAGTTTTAGGATGGAATGTGGCAGCGAGGAAGATTATGTTTGAAGGTCTGGTTAGCAGTGTGATGATGTATGGGGCAGAGGTATGGGGATGGAGGGAGCAGGAAATGCAGGAGGACGTGCAAGCTAGATATTGGAGATGGGTGCTTGGGGTGGCGAGAGAAACACCGGGGTATATAGTGAGGGAAGAGGTAAAGGTGGATAAGGTCAGAGTGGAAGCGGGCAGGAGGGCAGTGAAATATGAATAAAGAATAGAAAGGAAGCCAAACTGCGGGATCTTGGGGGAGTGTTGGAGGGAAATTAGAGAGGGAAAGGTCAGATATGCGAAAGGAGACAGAGACAACTATTATAGACGAGCGGGCTACTCGGTAACTGAGATAAATAGTAGACGAAGGGTGGGTAGGGAGATGTGGAGGGAGTTGAGAGATAGGGACCGAGATGTGCAGAGACAGGAAAGAAGGACACAAATAAAAGAGGGAAATTATAACGAAAGGTACAGGGACATAATTACGGAGAACCTAGAAACTTGTTATTGGAAGGAGATGAGGAAGGGAAGAAGTTGATGGCTAAGTTCCGTTGTGGAAACGAGGAGAGAACTAACAGATACTGGATGGCCGATGAGGAGAGGTGGTGTAGGCTGTGCAGGGAGGAATGGGAAATGTTGGAACATATGTTGAATGGGTGGAGTGAGTTGAGGGAGGAGGAGATAGACCAAGGGCAGATCTTAGGAGAGGGGGGAGAGGGGAAACGATGAATGAGAATGGTTGTGGGGGTGAGGAGACAAAGGGATGGATGAGGGGACGATTGGACCGAGAAGCCGAGGGTGTGGAAATGGAGGAAGAGGGTAGAGGGTGAAAATAATATTTTAATAATGTAAAGAATTGTAGACAGTTTGTTGTATACAATAAACTCTTAATTAATTAGTCGTCGTGCACATTTTTAAATCGCTCATAAATTTGAATATAATCATTTGAAGGGATATTGAAATCGAGCATGTTATGATAAAGGCACAAATATTTTTTAGTACCTCCTTACTAGCGATGGAAAGGATAGTGATTTTGCGAAAAACCGGATACCGGATATTCGGCCGGCCATTCGGTTGTCCGGCATATCTATCTAGCCATTTTGGTTATAATTTCTGGTGCATTTCTGCCACATTATTGCGATATTTGAACAAAAATGAAATTAATAAGAACGCTGATAAGATATGTTAACTTATTTGAATCTAGCTTGAAAACTAGAAGAAACTGTAACAAGATATTTTAAAAGATACTAATTCTTGCGAATGGGAAATTACCCTGCCGGATATTTGGTAACTATCTGGTATCCGACCGGTTTCAAAAAATGATGGATAGGCCGGGTACCGGATATCCGTTCTACCACTACTTCTTACTCAACCAACGCATCGATACATGTAGAATTGACAATTTTTATTTTATCCGACGCCTAACAATAAGGTTATGTTCCATTCCTAAATTGGAAGTTTTGGGTCTTATGTCGAGTATTTGTAATGGCATGATTGATCTCTGACCTATACTGTTATTGCAGGTATATTTGTGTTGTTCTTTATGTAGGTACTATGTGTAGTTTTTATATGTTAATATCTCGTGTCCCATTTTCTTTGTTTCGGATATTGTCCAATATATCGATGTTATGGTTTTTTATTTCGATCACAATTTCTTGATCACTTTCGTTCTAAGACGTTATGTTCAAACAAGGCTATTCTAGAAATGCATTTATCACGCTTTCGCTTCTTTAGTTATCACGGTTCCAATGGCGGTACCAATCCATCCGTCCAATAGCGCTACATATCAACTTGAGTCGTAGCCTCCTCAATTTTCTGTCTTCCATACAACACTGTCTAATGATGTTCTTTTTCAGTTTGTAGCTCCTAACATGTTCCTGGCATTCTTGCGCACCCCATCGTGTTCTGGATTTCTTAACCGGTCTACTACCTCCAGGCTATCCATGTAGTGTCTTCTTTGGTTCTTTTTCAGACGGTATCCTCTGGACATTCCCTGCCTATGTTCAACATGTTCCCATACCTGATTCATTATTTTTCTTATCCTTTTCCTTTTAGTGCATCTTTGTGTAAATTTTCACGTTTCTCCTCCATACAATACAGATCGTGATTTTACACACACTTATTTTGGTTTTTCTGTGAATGCAACTAGATTTTAGTATGGACAGTGCCGTAATGTACCTTATTTGTTGCATTTATTCTCTTAATCACTTTCTTTGCTTCGTCTTTGTCATGTGTAAATGTGGTATATGTTGTCATGTGGATCCTAGGTATATAAACTCTTGTACCACTCTTCAAAATTGTATTCGTGTATTGTCATATTTCGACCTATTCGATCTCGTGGTTATCTGTTCTCTAATAGAAGTTCGATTTTTTTCTAATTCGCATCTAGGCCAGTTGGACTCATCTATATCTGTCACTTTTCTTGTTAGTATGTTTATGTCGTCTCCATACCATATGATTTGTGTTGATCAGTTTAATAACGTCGATCCTGTGTCCAGGTTAGTCTTCCTTATTATGCTATCCACGGTCAGGTAAAGAGCATGGGTGCCAACTAGAGATGGAAAATTTTCGAGAAAAAAAAAATAGGGGAGTATTTTCGAGAATATTTCTAAGAATAAGCTTTTAAATACAAATACAGCCTGGAAAATACAGTCTGACGAGTGTAACGTGGTAAGGTTCATATTTATCGGATTAATTACTATGGAGGACCTATTTATAATGTTTAGAATATATTTGACGTAAAAAAATAATTTATTCTTTGAAACAACAACAAAAAGCGAGTGTTATTCTAAGAAAAATTAAACAATTATTAGTTCGAATCTAATGAATTTTCAAAGGGATCTGGCAAAGTTTCCAAATCTCTACATTCAATGACTTTAATATCAGAAAAGTGTTCATTGTCCTCATTAACCTCCACATTGGTGGCAAAACTTGTGGATGTTTCCAGATGCATTTCGCTGGTCTCACATGAATCTAATAATTTTAAATTATGAGCAATGAAAGTTATTTTACCAGCTCGTTCAGCCGTAAACCGATTTCTTTTCACAGTGTGAATAAAGCTGTAGGAGCTGAAACTTCTTTCTGTTGCTGCACTCGACGCAGGCGTACTTAGTATCTTGACTACTACTTTATTTAATATCGATCCCAAATAAGTCCTCTTCCATACAACGGGATGTAGTTTTATGCATTCGGTGTCATTTCTTTCATTTTGCATTTTTTTGAAAGTAGTCAATAAAATATGGGAATTGTTAATTTCTTTGCCATGACATGGTTTCCACTTTTAAACGTTTCCAATTAAAAAATGTTGTGTGTGAGCTTTTGCGTTTGTACTTTTCATGAAGTATATTTCTTGCTTTAACCATTGCTCCAGAGCAATTGACGGTTACTATAGCAAAGAATTTTTTAGGACCACCATAGACAAGTCATTGACGATTATCAGATGCTTATTAAGCCCGATTCGGGTAGGCTGCTTACCAATCTGATACAAGTTCACCGTGTAGTTAACCTCCAAAAAAGATGTTGTCTTTATCCTCCAAAGCAAGATAATTAATATTGAAATCACCCGTGCAGAGTAGGTAGTGATAATCAACGCTTATATTGGTGATGCAAGTTTCGAACTCATCCAAAAATACATATTCCAAAATTCGCCCACATCTTGCAACTACGCAGTAAGCCATAGGTATTCAATATGATAATTGGAAAATGCTTTTAATACATTTATTTCTATCCTGGCGCCATAATTTATGGGAATCCAAATCAAACAAGGATCCGAAATACTCGATGGTAGCCACGTTTCGGACAGCGCAACAATATCAGCCTCAAAGAGTACAGAGGTAGATAAAACATCAAAGTGAGGCTGCAATGATCGGACATTTAAATAACCAACTGTACACGACATGATTCTAGAATGGTGAGACAATTATAATCTATTTGCATCTCCCTTTCATGTATGACTACGCAGATTAGTTTTTGCTTTTGGTGCGCGAGACACTTTAGAAGACGATAGGTTCCCCAAAGCCTCCCCAGAAGAAACAATTTCAGCTCCACAAATATCCTCAATAAACGACGAATAATCCAATATGTCTCCAATATGTCTTATAAAGGGGTAAATCCCTAGTCCTGGCCAGGTCATATGGGTAATGATGGTGAAAACGTTAAGAAACACTGCTATAGACAAAGCATGACACAAATAGTCTGGAGTTATTAAATGTTGATAATAAAAATTAAAACAATATTGAAACAAAAATATTGAACTTTTTTATTTATGTACTGGAAGAATCATCTTTGTAGAACAAACACTAATATTACTGCTCGATAAATTCATCCAATTCCATCTGCAATAAACACATAAAATTTTTATATAGCTGCATCACAAATAAAATTGATACTTACTCTAGCATTGCATCACATTTTCTACGCTCTAACTGTTTCATTATAATTTTATAGGATTTTAGTGCTTCCTGAAATGTATATGAATAAGCTTAATTCTCAATTACTTTTTAAATCTTATTACCTTTTGTGTTTTAAATTTTTCTTTTAACTGTTTTAATTGGTGTTTTAAACGGCGTAATTCATGTTTTGACATTAAATAATCATTAATCGACGGACATTGATAATGTTTAACTCTATCTTTAATTAATTGTTGTTGTTTCCGCATGTTTGCGATTTCCAAACACAATTTTTTTTCTGCATCCATGTAATTTTCGAAACACAATTGTGTTGCTGCTGTTTCTTCACTTAAATTTACACATTCTTGCTGTTGATCACCAATAGTTTTTTTCATTTGTATTATATCGTGGCTGGCTTTATTCAACATGGTTTTCGATTGCAAAAAGAGACTATTTTTTAGTTTCAAATCATTTTTGATGCCATCTAAACGTAAATTTAACACAAAAATATCGACTTCGTTGACCATGGAATGAAGCGGTTCTTTAATATCGCGTTGTTCTCTTAATTTTCTGAGTTGAATTTTTTGATTGTTTACTTTTATTCGTAATTTTTCTAAAAGATCGTGACCACTTTTATGCCAATCACGCATAAACCTAAGTTATATTGAATATACAAAAATTACTTTTATGATAAATAAAAAGATATGAAGTCAAAAGTATCCATTTTAGCAGTATGTGTAATAAGCGTAAAATTTAAATAAACGAATATATTTGATCTTGAAATTGTTACGTTATGTTAGACATAATCTCTGAAGATGACATTTTAGGCGAAACTAGTTTATTTAAACTTTACGCGTAGAAATAAAAACCCTAATGTTATATTACTTTACGAATTTTTCAGCTGGCAGTTTTTGATTAATTTCAAGTTGAATCGCAGCTGTTATAAAACATTCAAATTGGTTTCTCGTTTTTTCTATATCATCATAATCCAGCTTATCACCTTCCAAATGTACGCTTTCATCACCTATTTGTTTTTTCATGTTGAACATAAACCTTTTCATTTCTTTTCTTGTATTTTGCATCTCCGCAGATGCCAATTCCAACTTTTCATCAAAATTAATCCTAAAAAATTAATATTTTTAAATTTAAATTCGTTGCCAACGTAAAAATTTTAAACATAAAAATATTTATATCATTTTCTAACCCATTCTCAACGTTGCCAACCCTACTGATTTACCGGTAGATCTACCGATATAGAAGATAGGCTACCGATATACTACTTAATCGTACTTAAAACCAATACAATTGCGACAAAAATTGTACCTTATGGGAATACCCTACTTATATTGCATAAAAGTATACACTAACGATAGGTAATGTCGCTCGAGCAACGTTGCCAGATCGTTGGCATATACAGTACGCGTCATAAGCAAACCCGCTGCCTAATAAATGTTCAAAATATAATATTGTTAAAATAGATATTGACGCATCTAAGACCAAAAGTGCAAGAGAACAATATTGTTAAGAATAAAATTTGCCACAACATTTGTTCTAAGAGTTCTTTTTTAACATGCTTCGATTTCTAAGCGCTATCTTTAATAACTTGAAAAAGCAATAAATTTATCAAATTTTCATATTTTCGTATCTCCCTCGATATTGACGTATCTAAGAGCAAAAGTGCAAGAGAGCAATATTGTTAAAAATAAAATTTGCTACAACTTTTGTGCTAAAAGTTTTTTTGTAACATGCTCCGATTATTAAGTGTTACCTTTAATAACTTGAGAGAGCAACAAATTCATCCAATTTTCATATTTTCGTATCTACCTCGATATTGACGTATCTAAGAGCAAAATTGCAAGAGAGCAATATTGTTAACAATAAAATTTACAACAATTTTTGTTATAAAATATTTCTTATAGCAAACTCCGATTCTCAAGTGTTACCTTTAATAACTTGAAAGAACAAATTCATACAGATTTCATATTTTCGTATCTATCTCGATATTGACGCATCTAAGAGCAAAAGTGCAAGAGAGCAATATTGTTAACAATAAAATTTGCAACATTTTTTGTTATAAAAGATTTCTTATAACAAGTTCCGATTCCCAAGTGTTACGTTTAATAGCTTGAAAAAGCAATAAATTCATCAAATTTTCATATTTGTAGTACGTTAGTCAGTTAACTTTAAGATAGATGTCGTGGTGTGTCGATAGAGGGCTCTCGGTCCTTTTTAGAAGATGTGAGAGACAACATGTATAAGATGGAGTGTAAGATATTTTTATAATAATAAAACAACTAAGTACTTTTAAAACAAGTCGTTTAATTCAAGTTGTTACATGGTGTCAGGTGAAACACCTGAGAACTGAAAAAGAAGAAAGAAAAGGAAAAGGAGAAAAAAAAAGAAGCCGCGAGAAAACGAGATCTGTTCGAACCTAAAAAAAGTTAATAAGAAAATGGCGTGCTTCAAGCCTCCGAATTCGCTGAAATTCGATGAAAATATTGAAAGAAATTTCAATCAATTCCTTGAAAGCTTATCGTACTTTATGAAAGCATCAGGATATGACAAAAAGGATGACGAAACGAAAGTATCGATTTTTCTGAATATAGCTGGAGAAGAAGCGCAAGTTGTGTTTCGACAGTTGGGATTATCCGAAGAAGAGAAGAAGAAATACACTACAGTAGTAGAAGCTTTTAAACAACACTGTGCTCCAGTAAGAAATGAAACATATGACCGATTTAAGTTTTTTAATCGATTTCAAGGTGAGAGTGAAGACTTCGAACACTTTTTAACTGATATTAGAACATTAGCTCAAGCATGTAACTTTGAACAATTAGAAGAAGGGCTATTGAAGGACAAAATCGTTATAGGAATAAATGACAGAGATTTACAAGAAAGGTTGCTCCGAACACCTAAACTTACCTTGAAAACTGCCATAGAGTATTGCAGAGCTTCGGAAGTGACTAAAAGACAACTAAAAGTATTAACTAAAGAAGAAGGAGAAGGAAATATGGTTAGTTACATCAAGCAAGGAGGAAAGAAAATGGATGGAAAAAACAAGAACAAGAAAGAAAAGGAGTTTAAGTGCAAATACTGCAATCGAAATCACAAGCCAAGACAGTGTCCAGCGTACGGAAAGACTTGTATGGTATGCAAAAAAGAAAATCATTTTGCCGAGGTGTGCAAGTTTAATATGAAACAAACAAATAAGAAGAATGTCCGAGATGTCAAAGAAAGCCATAATGCAGAAGAAGAAAGCACCGAGGAGGATGATAAGTATATTAGATTAGATTCCATAATCAATAATGATAAAAATGTTAAACAATGGACACAGAAAATAGATGTAAATGGAAAAAATATTGTTTTCAAACTAGATACGGGTAGCGAATGTTCAATTCTGCCATTTGATCTGTTACAAAATAATTTAAAAAACAATCTAGTTTTAGAAAAAACAAACACTGTATTAGTAGTTTATAACGGAAATAAAATAAAACCATTAGGGACAGTTAATCTAAAATGTAATATAAATGAAAAAGAAAGTAAGGTTAGGTTTGTAATTATAAAAGAAAGTAGAGCAATACCGATCCTAGGTTTAGAAGATTGTTTAAAATTAGGTTTAATAAAAAGAGTTGATAAAATAAATGTCCAAGTTAGTAAGGATAAAACCCAATTTATAAAAGAAAATTCAAGTGTGTTTGAGGGTTTAGGGAATATAGGCATGTGTAAAATTAAATTAAAAGATGATGCTGAACCAATAATAAAACCGCTAAGGAGAATTCCAGAATCGATTAAACCACAGCTGAAAATAGCTCTAAATAAACTAGAAAGTAATAAAATTATAGAAAAAGTTGAAGGACCAACAGAATGGTGCCATAATCTAGTAGTAGTTCAAAAACCAGATGGAAGTTTACGACTTTGTCTGGATCCAAGATATTTAAATCAGTACATAATAAGAGAAAAATGTCAAATTCCATCTCTGGAAGAAATTTGTAGTAGATTAGCAGGAAAAAAGTTTTTCTCAGTCTTGGATATGAAAGATGGGTTTTTCCAAGTGAAACTAGATAAACAAAGTAGCAAATTATGTTCTTTCGGAACACCGTTTGGAGTATATCGGTTCTTACGAATGCCATTTGGTATATCATCTGCTCCAGAAATAATGCAAAATTTAATGTTTTCAATTTTTAATAACATAGAAGGAGTAGAGACCTATTTTGATGATATAATTATTTCAGGAACTACTTTGGAAAAACATGATAGAGTTTTACAAACAGTTATAGATCGTGCAAAAAGATTTAATGTTAAGTTTAATAAAAATAAGGTCCAATACAGAATAAATCAAGTTAAATTCTTAGGATTAATTTTGTCTGAAAAAGGCATAAGTTGCGACCCTGATAATGTAAACACAATTCTTAAATTAGAACCACCAAAAAACGTGAAAGGGGTACAGAAATTTCTTGGAATGTGTAACTACATAAGCAAATTTATTCCACGGTTTGCTGAAATCACAGCCCCTCTAAGAGAGTTAACTAAAAAAGATAATTCTTGGAATTGGGGGGAAAATGAAAACAAAGCATTTACAATTTTAAAAGAAAAAATAACTCAATCACCTACATTGAGAGTTTTTGATAAAGAAATGCCTATCACTTTACAAACAGACAGCTCAAAAAATGGGGTTGGCGCGTGTTTATTACAAAATGGACAACCCGTTTCTTTTTACTCAAAAAGCTTAACAGAAGCTCAAGTCAGATGGGCACCAATCGAAAAAGAATTATTCGCCATTTGTTGTGGTGTAGAAAAGTATCACCAGTTTGTCTATGGTTACAAGGTAAAGGTTGAAACAGACCACAAACCATTAGTGTCGATAGTTAAAAAAGATATCAATAAGGTCAGTGCCAGATTACAACGTATGCTTTTAAAGTTACTAAAGTATAAGTTGGAGGTAACGTATGTTCCTGGATCAAAGATGTATATAGCAGACTTCCTGTCAAGAAATTACTTAAAAAATACTGGACAAGAAGATAAGAGCTTATTAGATGTAGTACATTGCATGAGTGCTGAATTACCTATATCTGATAGTCGTTTGTTACAACTACAAAAAGAAGGTCGAAAGGACGAAAATCTAAAAACATATATTGAGTGGTACAATGAAGGGTTTCCTAAAAACAATAAGAATGTTGAAGGTAAGGAACTGAAAATACTGTATAAATTGAGAAATGACATTACGGTACAGAATGGAATTTTGTACTGGGGTAAAAAAGTTATAATTCCGAAAACACTTAGGAAAGAAATGCTTAATATAATACACACAGGTCATCTAGGAATTGATAAATGTAAGGCTAGAGCTAGATCGTTATTATACTGGCCTGGAATTACACTGGATATAGAAAATCTTATAAGACAATGCAAAGTATGTGAGAAATACAACTTATCGAATCCAAAAGAAACGTTTATTGGTCATGAGATTCCGGAATTACCCTTTAATAAAGTTGGCATGGACTTGTTTCAGTTCAAAAATCATGACTATTTGCTTGTAATTGACTACTACAGTAAGTGGATTGAGGTTAAAGAGTTGGAAAATAAAACAGCTGGTAACGTAATAAATAGATTAAAACAAATATTCTCTGTTCATGGAATTCCAGAAATTATTATTTCTGATAATATGCCATTTTCTAGTTACAACTTTAAAAAATTTACTGACAGTTGGGGAATAAAAGTAATAACATCTAGTCCAAGATATCCTAAGTCGAATGGTTTAGCGGAAAGGGGAGTAGGTGTAGTAAAAAGATTGTTGAAGAAGTGTTTAGAAAGTGATCAAGATATATATTTGGCATTGTTAACGTATAGGAACACGCCCATTACGGGTATGTCCTATTCACCTGCGCAAATGTTATTTTCTAGAACATTAAGGGATAAATTACCTTGCACTAAAAATAGTTTAAAACCGCAAATGAGTAATAACGTATATGAACAATTGTTGAATAATCAGAAAAAATCAGAAACATGTTATAATAAAACATCAGTTGAACCTAAAAGTTTTAATAAAGATGATAATGTGTTAATTCAAAATTTAGATAATAAAACATGGGCTCCAGGTAAAATAGTGGATGTTTATGATACACCTAGATCATACATTGTACAAAAAGATACAGGTAGGCATATTAGACGCAATAGTGTGCATCTCCGAAAATCGTATAATGATGTAGTAATTAGACCTAAATTAACTGAAATTGACAACATTCCCGATAGTGACATATATGTAAAAAATCGTACTAAGCCTAGTTTAAGTAAGGTTGTTGTTAATAAAGATTGTGAACCGATAGCAAGACCGTCAGATTCATCTGTGCAAACGAGGTCGGGTAGAGTAATAAAGGAACCGTCACATTTGAGGGACTTTGTTGGGTATAGACTTGGGAGGGGGGATGTAGTACGTTAGTCAGTTAACTTTAAGATAGATGTCGTGGTGTGTCGATAGAGGGCTCTCGGTCCTTTTAGAAGATGTGAGAGACAACATGTATAAGATGGAGTGTAAGATATTTTTATAATAATAAAACAACTAAGTACTTTTAAAACAAGTCGTTTAATTCAAGTTGTTACA